CTCCTCCTCTGTGCCCTCAGCTCCTCCTCTACACCTTCAACTCCTCCTGTGTGCCCTCAGCTCCTCTGTGCCTTCAGCTCCTCCTCTGAGCCCTCAGCTCCTCCTCTACACCTTCAACTCCTCCTGTGTGCCCTCAGCTCCTCTGTGCCTTCAGCTCCTCCTCTGAGCCCTCTGCTCCCCTAAGCCCTCAGCTCCTCTTCTGCACGCTCAGTGCCTTGTCTGCACCCTCAGCTCTTCCTCTGCGCCCTCTGCTCCTCTTCTGCACCAGACACTGGCTTTGGGGGGGAAGTCTCATGGTGGCTTCTCATGAGCCATGATTGATCATATCACTGGCCACTGGGGTCTGGGGGACCTTTCTTCCCTCCTTAGAGATTGGTTGAAGCGGGGGCTGAACACTGCCAGTGTTTCCCACCGTGTTAGTTCCCCAGCCACCGACCCTTGCGCCCCTCCCCACTGCATACTTGCCTAGGGCTTGCCAAGGTAAATAAATAAAGTAAAATTACCCAGTTAACTGAAATTCAGCTGAGCTCTCTGGAGAGGCTCCCTCCTTCTCATCCACCCTCTGGAACTATCTCAGGAACCAAGGACACACCAAGGGCAAGCCATTGGAGATGTTCCTTACTGTTTCTGTTGGGAAGTTGCACTCAAAGCAGAATGGACTTTCGCCATGATATTTGCTGTTCTGTCTTGTTCTCATACCCGAGCCAGGCAGCCGGGCAAGAAAACTGCATCTTGAGTCATCCAAGGGGCTTGGGAAAGCTCTGATCTCCCCCTCCCCCCTCCCCCCCCCCCCCCCCCCCCCCCCCCGCCTGCCTGCCATCTCACCTTGAACCCATTAAGTTAGAATGGCTGAGGTTGGGGCCCAGCTGCCTTCCAGGTGAGTCCCATCTCCCTGTCCCAGAAACAACCATTTAATCCGGGCTGGTTTTCCTCCCCAGTAGGAAGGCCCTGGCAGTGGGGAGGAAGCTGAGGGTCAGGCTCAAGGGGGCCGGAAGACCCCAGCTTGCCTGCAGGTATGTCAGTGGTGTCCAGTGGAGGTCCTGCCCTGGGCAAGGTGAGTAGACATCCTCCTGCCTGCCCCTCCCTCTGCTCTCAGGCCAGCAGCCATTGCTGGATAATATTCCTCCCTCTCACAGAACTTTCCAGGCCTGGGCTTTTCTGTGGTGCAAGGGGGTGTGAGGGTGGAATTTCTCAGAAGCTTGGGATATATGACTGTTTTTGGTGTTTTTTTGTTTTTGTTTTTTTTTGGTCAGTCATGGGTCTGTCACTGAGCTTTTCTTCTCAAGGTGAGCATTCTACCACTTAAGTCACAGCACCACTTCTGGCTTTTTGTGTGTGTGGTTTATGTAGTACTAAGGACTCGAACCCAGGGCTTCATGCATGCTAGGCAAGTACTCTACCACTGAGTCACATTCCCAGCCCTAATGACTGTTTTTTTTTTTTTTTGGGGGGGTCCGGTCGTGGGGCCTGAACTCTGGGCCTGGGTGCTGTCCCTCAGTTCTTCAGCTCAAGGCTAGTGCTCTACCACTATGAGCCACAGCGCCACTTCTGGCTTTTTTCTTCTTGCTTATGTGGTGCTGAGGAATCGAACCCAGGGCCTCATGCATGCAAGGCAAGCGCTCTACCACTGAGTCACCTTCCAAGCCCCTAATGACTATTTTTGAGAGGTGAGCTCTCCTCTATTCCATTCCTAGCTTTCCCTTCTAAATGTGTGTGTGTGCGTGAGCACGCGCCCGCGCTTACGCGCACGTACATGCGCACACATTTGAACCCAGGTCCTAGATACTTGTCCCTTAGCTTTTTTTCTTGTTCAAGGCTGGTGCTCTACCATTTGAGCCACAGCTCCACTTTGGCTTTTTGGTGGTTCAGTGGAGCTAGAGAGTCTCAAAGACTTTCCTGTCCTTCCTCTGTGTTCCCAGCTTGGCCTGGTTCTGTGGGTGTTGGCTATTGGAGGGATCTAGAATGATCTATTGTTCTTCAGCTGTCTGAAGGCAGCGTGACAGGTTCCAGTGCTCCCTGCTCTGCGAGTTCTGCAGGTCCCCCTCTCATCCTTGGCTTCATCTCCCAAGTTCCTCACTTTTTTCTTCCCATTGCCCCCACCCCCACCCTGCGTTTCTCTCTTCAGGTCTAGCCCCTGTGTGTGAGAATGCACACAGTATCGTCTTTGTGCATCTGGCTTATTTCATCTTCCTGAAAATATGTTATTTGTTTTTGGTTCTTGGGACCTGACCCCTGGGCCTGGGCGCTGTCCCTGATCTTCTTTTGCTTGAGGCTAGCACTCTACCACCTTGACCTGCAGCTCTACTTCTAGTTTTTTTGGTTGGTTAGTCACAAGTCTCACAGCATTGCCTGCGCTGGATGGCTTCAAACTGTGATCCTGAGATCTTGGCCTCCCGAATAGCTAGGATTACCGGCCTGAGCCACTGGTGTTCGGCTTTGTATTTCTTCTTTATGGTTGAATAATACTCTGCCATGTAAACTGCACGGATGTTTTGTTCCACCACACACAGGTTGATAGGCACCCCGGTGGCTTCCGTCCATGGCTCTTGTGAACAGTGCTGAGCGTCCTGTGCAGGGCTTTCTGCTTTATGCAGTGTCGAGTTCCTTTAGCACGCACTGCACATCCGTTTTGTTTTCCCACGTGGCTTTGCTTTGTTGAGCAAGTGAGCCGTCCACATGTGTGTGAGCTCAGGGTGCAGCTGGCTTATTTCTGGTGATGTGAGAGACACATTATTTCCCGGGTACACAGCACTATGAAAAGGACCGAATATTACTTTGCTTTGGTTTTCACACAGCATCCGCCCAAACCTGTGCTGCGCCAGTCCCTTATTTGCACACTACTTAAGAATAACTGGCATTCTCCCCTGTCATTTCTTTACTTTTGTTTGTTGTGTGTGACGGTACTAGAGCTTGAACTATGCTCTGCTTAGCTTTTACACTCAAGGCTGGTTGCCTCCACCACTTGAGCCACAGCTCCACTTTGGCTTATGCTGGTTAATTGGAAGATAAGAGTTCTCACATGCTTTCGCTGCCTGGGCTGGCATCCAATCTCCATCCTCAGATCTCAAGTCTCCTGAGTAGCTAGGATTATAGGTGTGAACCACCTCACCTGGCTTCTTCTTCTTCTATATTTTAAGCCCTACCTGGGTAACTGTGATTCCCAGTACAATAAACTGCTGTGACACAACTTTGATTTCCTATTTGTGGTGCTAGAGATCTAATCTGGGTCCTCATGAAAGTTAGGAAACACATGTGATTTTTTTTTTCCTAGCCAAGGTTTTCTTGATAGATTCAATCAACGAATGTAGAATCTGTGGGTAGAAAAGTTTGGCTCTTCTCTCCCCCTGCTCCTTTTCTGGGGGGCATTAGGGGTGTTTATTTCAAACTCTATAACATTTATTTTTATTATTACATTTTTGTGTGTGAAAATACCATACAGAGGGGTTACAATTACATGGGCAAGATAGTGAGTACATTTCTTAATAAGCATTGTTGCTTCCTCCTTTGTTTCCTCTTCCCATCCCTTCCCCTCTCCACCTCCCCACTCCCCACCTCCTACCACTACCTCCCCCTATCCTCCCACCCTGCCAAAGTTGTAAAGTTCGTTTTTCGACATAATGTCTTGTACATCTCATTGTTGTATGGCTATTGAAGATCTTCTCCCAATCCGTGGGCTTTCTATTCATCTTACTAGCTATGTCCTTTGCCATGCAGAAGCTCTGCAATTTCATGCAATCCCATTTGTCCAACCTTTCTTTGATTTGTTGTGTTTCTGGGTCTCTATTCAGAAAATTTTGGCCTGTGCCAAGGAGACCTAGGGTTTCTCCTATTCCATCCTGTAATGTTTTCAGAGTGTCTGCTTTGACTCCGAGGTCTTTGATCCATTTGGAGTTGATTCTGGTGCAGGGTGATATATAAGGATCTAGGCTTAGTTTTCTACAAGTAGTTAACTAATTTTGCCAGCACCATTTACTGAAGAGGCTGTCTTTCTTCCATTCTATTTTTTTAGCTTCCTTATCAAAGATTAGATGGCTATAGGTCTGTAAGTTCATTTCTGGGTTTTCAATTCTATTCCATTGGTATTAGGGGTGTTTTGTTGTTGGTGGTGGTTATGGGGTTTGAACTCAAGGCCTGGGCACTGTCTCTGAACATTTTTTTTTTGGGGGGGTCTGGTTGTGGGGCCTGAACTCTGGGCATGGGCGCTGTCCCTCAGCTCTTCAGCTCAAGGCTAGGACTCTTACCACTTGAGCCACAGCGCCACTTCTGGCTTTTTTTTCTGCTTATGTGGTGCTGAGGAATCGAACCCAGGGCCTCATGCATGCAAGGCAAGCACTCTACCACTGAGCCACCTTCCCAGCCGCACATTTTTTTTTTCTGAACATTTTTTACTCAAGGCTAACACTCTACCACTTTGAGCCACAGCAGCACCACTTCCGGTTTTTGGGTGGTTCACTGGAGATGAGAGTCTCATCGACTTTCCTGCCTGGGTTGGCATTGAACCCCAATCCTCAGATCTCAGCCTTCTGAGTAGCTAGAATGACAGGCAGGAGCCACCAGCTTCTAGCCTGATAGATACTTTGATGATATCTGTTTGCAGGGCTGGAGATCAAACCCAAAGCCCTGAACATTCAAGGCAAACACTTCACTCACCTATAGCCTCTGTCTTGTGATTTTTTTTTTGGTCGGTCATGAGGCTTGAACTCTGGGCTTGGGTGCTATCCTTTCAGCTCAAGACAAGTGCTCTACTGCTTTAGCCATAGCACCACTTCCAGTTTTCTGGTGGTTAATTGGAGCTCAGTAGCTAGGATTACAGGCGTGAGCAACAGCACCTGGCTTTTTTTTTTTTTTTCTGTTAGTTTGGTTAATGGATGTAATGTCAGTGTCGGGAAATCCTAAGAACTGCAGTATGTTACCCAAGGATGCTGGTTCTCTGCTTTCTCTTCCTCTGCTCCCAATTCTTGTTTAATCCTGATCCTTAAGTGCTGTCTTAGGGCCCTGTGATGTCTTTGAAGCCACAGTATAACCTGAAGAACCTTCTGGACAAGTTGGACCATGAGGAGTTAAGGACCTTCAAATCTCTGCTGAAGCCCCTCATGGAGCCAGGCGTGGACCTGCGGATCTTCCCCTGGGATGAGGTGGAAGAGGCCAGTGGTAGCAAACTGGCTGAAATCCTGGAGGACAGACTGCCCAGGGCGAGTCTCAGGAAGACCATCTGGTCTATCTTGGAGAAGATGGAGCTGCCTCAGATCCTGGGCAAGTACCCCACCCATCCACTGGCCCCACCTAGGGTGGGGACCCTGGGGGCTTAGGAACAGCCCTATACCTAGTAGTTCCTGCCCAGCATCTAAACTCTTCAGAAGGCTGAGATAGGAGGATTCCAGTTCAAAGGCAGCCCAGGCAGGAGAGGCAAGGAGACTCTTAATCTCCCATGAACTACCAGAAAGCTGGAAGTGGCACTGTGGCTAAGTGGTAGGTAGAAAGCTAGCCTTGAGCATAAAAGCTTAGAGAGCACAAGGTCCTGAGTTCTAGTCCCACTACCAGAATACATTCCCTGGCATTCCAGGTTGACTTACCTCAGCCAACAGAAGTCTACCCTGATAGCATCCCTCTTCCTAAAAAGAAACAAAATTTCTCTCTTTTTTTTTTAACAGCAGAGTAGTACTTTGTTGTTTTTGCATACCACGATGTCTTTATCCATGGAGATGTGAATTATTATAACAGTAATGTGCTACATCTTACAATGTGTTGTCCCATAAAGAAGACTTAATACTTGAGACCTTCTGGACCAACCCTAAAGCTTAATCTAGGAGCCCTGGGAGCCAGGAGCTAAGATTGACTCCCACCTTATCTCCCCCAAACCAAGCAAAAACCAGCACCAGGAGTGCTGTGTGACTTTGACGGCTGGAAGGTCATTCTGACCTTGGCTTAACTGAAAGTTCCCTCACCCCAGGCACAGCTTTTATTCCCTCCTGAGCCTGGCCACATGCCAGCCCTGCCCCCAAGAGACCATAGCCTGGTTTGTTGTTGTTGTTTTTTTTTATTTTCTGCTTCCTGATTAAGACCCCTATAGGCAAGACCCCAAATCCATCCACCTCCTTGGCGAGATCTCTGATCCCAAGGGAAGGTTGCTGTCCTTCCCTGTTCTTCAATAAACAGTCCTTGCTGGTTGGATGATCAAGTCCAGCCTGTTTCTTTTCTTTCTCCTCCATTTTCCTAACACTGAGTGTCATGGCTGTATGTATGTGTGTGTGTACACGCATTTATACATATGTACACATACACATATATTGAAATAAAGATACTAGAATTGGACCATAGGGAATTATCTTTAACTGGGGCCATTTTGTTTTGGCGGATGAAGGTGACCCCTCCCCCCAGGTGATGGGCTTCCCTGAATTCCTAGCTGCCGGGGTGGAGACTTGGACTGTGTAGGTCACTGAAACCTGCCAGCTCCCAGGACCTGCCCCCTGGCCAAGACCCTATTTAGGCCCCCACCAGCTCCAGCAGCTCATTTCTGGTTTCCTGGCTCTCCCCTGTCACCATGGATTCCCGCTGCAACTCTCCATTCGAATTTATCGGTATTGTCTGTTCTTTCCTCTCCTCTCATTGCTCAGTATTCCCACAGGGTTAAGTGTATTTTAGGCAGCTGCAGATTTTTAGGACAGGAGTCACAAAATATAGACATATATGTAACATAATTTATTTTTACAGACTATGTTGACATATTGGAAAGTGAAGAACAAATGCAGGGGCAGGAACTGAAATGTGGGCAGAAGGAAAAGCCAGGTGAGTAGTTTGTCTTGTGGCGTGTAGAGCAAATGAATGCTCTTTTTTCTAATATGTATATAATATATATAATTTTATTTTATTTTGTTTTTACAGAGGATGTTGAGACACTGGTAACAGAAGAACAGATGCAGGGAGATGAAGTGAAAAATGGTGAGATGGAAAATCCAGGTGATCAGTTTCTGTCTTTGACATGCAGGGTGAATTGTCTTTTTCTGATATTAGTGTGTGTGTGTGTGTGTGTGTGTGTGTGTGTGTGTGTGTGTGTGTGTGTGTGTGTGTGTGTGTGTGTGTGTGTGTGTGTGTGTGTGTGTGTGTGTGTGTGTGTGTGTGTGTGTGTGTGTTCTGAGTAATCAAACCCAGGGCCTCATGCATGCAAGGCAAGCACTCTACCACTGAGCCACCTTCCCAGCCGTGCCCCCCATTTTTTTTTTAACAGAGGATGTTGAGACATCAGTAATAGAAGAACAAATTCAGGGTGAGGAACTGAAATGCAGGGAGATGGAAAAGCCAGGTGAGTGGTTTCTGTCTTGTTGTATGCAGGATGAATCATCTTTTTCTTTTCTTTTTTTTGTTTTCTGGGTCCGGTCATGAGGCCTGAACTCTAGGCCTGGGTGCTGTCCCTCAGCTCTTCAGCTCAAGGCTAGTGCTCTACCACTTGAGCCACAGCGCCACTTCTGGCTTTTTTCTTTTTGCTTATGTGGTGCTGAGGAATCGAACTTAGGGCCTCAGGCATGCAAGGCAAGCGCTCTACCACTGAGCCACCTTCCCAGCCCTGAATCATCTTTTTCTTTTTTTTTTTTGGTCGGTCATGGGGCTTGAACTCTGGGCCTGAGCGATGTTCCTCAGCTCTTCAGCTCAAGGCGAGCGCTCTACCACTTGAGCTACAGCGCCACTTCTGGTTTTCTGGTGGTTTATTGGAGATAAGAGTCTCACGGTCTCTCCTGCCCGGGCTGGCTTTGAACCGCGATCCTCAGATCTCAGCCTCCTGAGTAGGTAGGATTACAGGCGTGAGCCACCAGCGCCCGGCTTGAATCATCTTTTTCTGACATTTTTTTTTTACAGAAGATGTTGAGACACCGGTAATAGAACAAATGCAGGGAGAAGAACTGAAATGTGGGGAGATAGAAAAGTCAGGTGAGTGGTTTCTGTTTTTGACATGCAGGTTGAATTATCTTTTTCTGACCCAGGGCCTCAAGCATGCAAGGCAAGCACTCTACCACTGAGCCACCTTCCCAGCCCAACATACAATTTTTTTTTTTTTTTTGCCAGTCCTGGGGCTTGATCTCAGGGCCTAGGCACTGTCCCTGAGCCTCTTTTGCTCAAGTCTAGCACTCTCACTTGATCCACAAGACCAGTTCCAGCTTTTTTCTGCTTATGGCTTATGTGGTGCTGAGGAATTGAACCCAGGACTTCATGTATGCAAGGCAAGCACTCTACCCCTGAGATACCTTCCCAGTCCCCACTTTTTTTTTCTGTTGGCCTGGGCTTGAACTCTGGGCCTAGGCACTGCTCAGCTCTTAAGCTCAAGGCTAGCGCCCTACCACTTGAGCCACAGTGCCACTTCTGGCTTTTACCTGCTTATATGGTGCTGAGAAATTAAACTCAGGGCCTTGTGCATGCAAGGCAAGCACTCTACCACTGAGCCACCTTCCCAGCCCCTATTTCTTTTTTTTTGTCGGTTGTGGGGCTTGAACTCTGGGCCTGAGTGCTGTCCCTCAGCTCTTCAGCTCAAGGTGAGCACTCTATCTACCACTTGAGCTACAGTGCTACTTCTGGTTTCCTGGTGGTTTATTAGAGATAAGGGCTTCACAGACTTTCCTGCCCAGGCTGGCTTTGAACCACGATCCTCAGATCTCAGCTTCCTGAGTAGCTAGGATTACAGGCATGAGCCACTGGGGACCAGCTTCCTTTTTTATTTTTTTATTTATTTTTTATTTTTTTTATTTTTTTGGGTCCGGTCCTGGGGCCTGAACTATGGGCCTGGACGCTGTCCCTCAGCTCTTCAGCTCAAGGCTAGCGCTCTACCACTTGAGCCACAGCGCCACTTCCGGCTTTCTTCTTTTTGCTTATGTGGTGCTGAGGAATCGAACCCAGGGCCTCATGTATGCAAGGCAAGCGCTCTACCACTGAGCCACCTTCCAAGCCCCCTTTTTAATTTTTTTAACAGAGGATGTTGAGACACTATTTGAAGAACAAATGCTTGGGGAGGAACTGAAATGTGGGGAGATGGAAAAGCCAGGTGAGTGGTTTCTGTCTCATGGTAGGCAGAGCAACACATTTTTTTCTGACACACACATACATATATTTATAGAATATATATTTTTGACAGAGGATGTTGAGACACCGGTTGTAGAAGAACAAATGCAGGGAGAAGAACTGAAATGTGGGGAGATAGAAAAGCCAGGTGAGTGGTTTCTTTCTTGTGACGTTCTGGGTGAATCATCTTTTTCTGGCATGTAGTGTATATATTATTTGTGTATATATATATATATATGCAATTATATGTATATATGCATTATGTATACACACACACACACACATATATATATATGTATATATATATATATATGTATATATATATATATATTGCCATTCCCGGTACTTGAACTCTGGGCCCGGGCGCTGTCCCTCAGCTCTTCAGCTCAAGGCTAGTGCTCTACCACTTGAGCCACAGCGCCACTTCCGGCTTTTTTCTTTTTGCTTATGTGGTGCTGGGGAATTGAACACAGGGCCTCATGCATTGCAAGGCAAGCGCTCTACCACTGAGCCACCTTCCCAGCCCTCCTTTTTTTATTTTTTTAACAGAGGATGTTGAGACACTAATTGAAGAACAAATGCTTGGGGAGGAACTGAAATGTGGGGAGATGGAAAAGCCAGGTGAGTGGTTTCTGTCTTGTGGTAGGCAGAGCAACACATTTTTTCTGACACGCACACATATATTTATAGAAAATATTTTTTTGACAGAGGATGTTGAGACACCGGTAGTAGAACAAATGCAGGGAGAATTGAAAAGTGGGGAGATAGAAAAGCCAGGTGAGTGGTTTCTTTCTGGTGACATTCAGGGTGAATCATCTTTTTCTGGCATATAATGTATATATTATTATTTGTATATATATGTATTATATATATATATATATATATATATATATATATATATATATTGCCATTCCTGGGACTTGAACTCTGGGCCTGGACGCTGTCCCTCAGCTCTTCAGCTCAAGGTGAGCGCTCTACCACTTTAGCTACAGTGCTACTTCTGGTTTCCTGGTGGTTTATTAGAGATAAGGGCTTCACGGACTTTCCTGGACCTTACTTTCCCGCTCAGGCTGGCTTTGAACTACGATACTCAGATCTCAGCTTCCTGAGTAGCTAGGATTACAGGCGTGAGCCACTGGGGCCCAGCTTCCTTTTTTTTTTTTTTTAATCAGAGGATGTTGAGACACTGGTAATTGAAGAACAAATGCTTGGGGAGGAACTGAAATGTGGGGAGATTGAAAAGCCAGGTGAGTGGTTTCTGTCTCGTGGTATGTAGAGCAACACATTTTTTCTGACACACATATGTTTATAGAATATATAATTTTGACAGAGGATGTTGAGACACCAGTAGTAGAAGAACAAATGCTGGGAGAAGAACTGAAATGTGGAGAGATAGAAAAGCCAGGTGAGTGGTTTCTTTCTTGTGACATTCAGAGTGAATCATCTTTTTCTGGCATATAGTGTATATATTATTTGTATATATGTATGTAATTATATGTATATATGTATGTATGTATTTGTATGTATATATTATATATATTTATATATATTGCCATTCCTGGGACTTGAACTCTGGGCTTGGGTGCTGTCCCTCAGCTCTTCAGCTCAAGGCTAGTGCTCTAACACTTAAGCTACAGCACCACTTCCAGCTTTTTCTGCTTATGTGGTGCTGAGGAATTGAACCCAGGGCCTCATGCATGCAAGGCAAGTGCTCTACCACTGAGCCACCTTCCCAGCCCCCATTTGGTTTTTTAACAGAGGATGTTGAGACACCAGTAATAGAAGAACAAATGCAGCGGGAGGAACTGAAATGCAGGGAGATGGAAAAGTCAGGTGAGTGGTTTTCTTGTGACATTCAGGGTGAATCATCTTTTTCTGGCATATAATGTATTATTATTCGTATATATGCATGTAATTATATGTATATATGTATGTATTTGTATGTATATATGTATTATATATATTACACACACACACACACATTGCCATTCCTGGGACTTGAACTCTGGGCCTGGGCACTGTCCCTCAGCTCTTCAGCTCAAGGCTAGCACTCTACCACTTGAGCCACAGCGCCACTTCCGGCTTTTTTCTTATGTGGTGCTGAGGAATTGAACCCAGGGCCTCATGCATGCAAGAGAAACGCTCTGCCACTGAGCTACCTTCCAGCCCCCATTTGGTTTTTTAACAGAGGACATTGAGAAACCAGTAATAGAAGAGCAAATGCAGGGAGAGGAACTGAAATGCAGGGAGACAGAAAAGCCAGGTGAGTGGTTTCTGTCTTGTGGTGTGCAGAGCAAATGAATGCTCTTTTTTCTAATATATATAAGATATATATCATTTTTTTACTTTTTTATTTTATTTTTACAGAGGATGTTGAGACACTGGGAATAGAAGAACAAATACAGGGGGAGGAAGTGAAAAATGGTGAGATGGAAAATCCAGGTGAGTGGTTTGTCTTGGGGTGTGCAGAGCGAATGGTCTTTATTCCTGAGAAGTCTACACATAACCAGCTTTTCCCTTCTCGAATGTCTCCCCAGACAACACGGAAGGGCAGAGTGATGCCAGAGACAGCCTGGCTAGGTTCTGGAAGAGTCGATTTTGTCTGGACCACACCTACCTCTCCGGAGTCATAGAGAGAAACCGGAATCTGATCCCATTTCTGGATCCGCAGGTCATCCTCCGGGGGCGGTCCGTGGTGCTACATGGGCCCCCGGGTGCTGGGAAGACTACCGTGGCCAGGAAGTTGGTTCTGGAGTGGGCAGACGGCAGCCTGGCCCACCTCTTCTCATGGGTCTTCTACCTGAGCTGCAGGGAGCTCGCCCAGATGGCACCCTGCACGCTGGTGGAACTGCTCTCCCATGAATTCCCTGAGCTGGAGAGTGATGTGGTGCAGTTCCTGGAGGAGCCCCAGGAAGCCCTGATCATCATCGATGGCTTGGAGAAGATGAGCATCCCCAGGTTGGACTCCAGGATTGATCTCTGCATGGACTGGCTGGAAGAGAACCCAGTGCCAGTCCTGCTAAGCAGCTTGCTGCAGGGGACATTGGTGCCCAATGCTACCTTACTGATCACCACAACCCCCAGCACCCTGCGGGAGCTCATACCCCTGGTGGGCCAGGCGCAGTTCTGCAGCATCCCAGGCTTCTCAGAGGCGGATACGCAGGAGTTCTTCCTTAGGCACTTCAGAGACCAGGCCCAGGCCCAGAGAGCCCTGGAGGCTGTGCAGAGCAACGAAGCCCTGCTGGCCATGAGCCGGGTGCCCTCCATGTGCAGGCTGCTGTGCACATGTCTGGAGCCAGTGATGGAGAGGGGCGAGGATCCCACCACTGCCTGCCAGACCTCCACTGCCCTGCTCCTCCACTTCTTCCAGGACCAGTTCTGCCACCCCCGCTCCTGCCCCAGTGCCCTGGCCCCTGGGCTGGAGACCCTGTGCCGCCTGGCTGCCCAGGGCCTGTGGGCCCAGACATCTGTGTTCTACCTGGAAGACTTGGAGAAACTTGGGGTGCAGGAGATCAGCTTGCACCCCTTCCTGGACAAGTGCCTCATCCAGAAGGACTTGAACTATCGGTACTACAGTTACTCCTTCATCTACCCCGTCCTCCAGCAGTTCCTGGCCGCCCTGTTCTATGTCCTGAAGCCCCAGGATGGGGAAGGCCGAGGCCGCCAACCCTGGGATGACAACATTGAAGATGTGGGTAAGCTGTTCTCCAGAGAGGCCCGGCTACGGAACCCCGGCCTGGCCCATGCGGGCCACTACCTGTTCGGCCTCCTAAACAGGAAGAGGGCCCAGGAGCTGGAGGCGACCTTTGGCTGCCACATAGACCTGGAGATCCGACAGGAGCTGCTAGGGTGTGGGGCGGAGGAGAGCAGGCCCTTCCTCCTGCAGATGGAGCAGAGTGAAGTCTTTAGCTGGCTCTACGAATCTCAGGATGAGGAGCTGGTGAGGGAGGCACTGGCACCCTTTGAGGAAATGTCTGTGATCCTGAAGAGCCGCCAGGATCTCCTGCACGCGTCCTTCTGCCTCAAGCATTGCCCGGGCCTGCACAAGCTCACGGTGCAGGTGGTCAGGGGGCTGTTCCGGGAGAATGATGGCGCTCAGCTGAGCTTCTACCTAAAGCATGGGAGGTAAGCCCAGTTTAACTCTGCCATCTTCATCTCCCCCCTTGCCTTGTCTTCCTCCCATGTCCTGTTCAGTTGGGAGTTTCCTGTGGTCTGTCCTTACTAGTTGGTTAGTCTCCTGCTATGCTCTCATCCTGGCTCACACTTCAGATGGGAGATGACCTGCTATGTATGATTGGAATGAGTTTCCAGGCCTGGATAGTCCTCTGCTTATACCTCCAAAGGAGCAGGCATAACAGGCATGTGTGGACAGCATGACGTGCATATGCATTTGTTGAGATATCGCTGTCTTCCAAGGCTGGTCTTGAGACTAATCCTCTCCCAAACAGCTGGGGTGCAAAGCATATACTAGCATTAGCAGCCCTAGGCATTATACCAAACATTGAAACAACCATGTTCTTCCTGTTATTGGTTGTGGGATTTGAACTCAGGCCGTGGGTGCTGTCCCTAAGTCCCTTTGTGCTCAAGGCTAGTGTTCTACCATTGAGCTGCAGCGCCACTTTGGCTTTTGAGTGGTTAATTGAAGATCAGTATCATGGGGACTTTTCTGCCCAAGCTGGCTTTGAGCCTTGATCCTCAGACTTCAGCCTTCTTAGTAGCTAGGATTACAGATGTGAGCTACCGACAATAACCGTATTTTCAAGTCAACAGAAGATGATTCTTTTTTTTTTGGGGGGGGGGTCTGGACCTGGGACCTCAACTCTGGGCCTGGGCGCTGTCCCTCAGCTAGCGCTCTACCACTTGAGCCACAGAGCCACTTCTGGCTTTTTTCTTTTTGCTTATGTGATGCTGAGGAATCGAACCCAGGGCCTCAGGCATGCAAGGCAAGCGCTCTACCAGAGCCACCTTCTCAGCTCCAGAAGATGATTTCTTTAAGTTTCTGGGTTTTTTTTTAAATTTTCCTGGGGCTTGAACTCTGGGCCTGGGCACTGTCCCTGAGCTTCTTTCTCAAGGCTAGCACTCTACCACTTGAACCACAGAGCTATTTGCTGCCTTTTCTTAGTAGTTCATTGGAGATAAGAGTTTCACAGACATTCCTGCCCAGGCTGGAGATCTCCAGATCTCAGCCTCTTGATTAGTTAGGATTACAGGTGTGAGCCACTGGTGCCTGGCCATTTTTTTTTTTAAGTTATGCTCAAAATGACATGCAAATGAATTGCTAGACCCAAGTCACAACCTTACAGTTCTAGAAATAAAACTCTGTCCCAGGTCAAGAATGCCTGGAAGCTGGGTGCTTGTGGCTCCTGCCTGTCGTCCTAATTGCTCAGGAAGCTGAGATATGAGGATTGTGGTTCAAAGCCAGCTGGGGCAGAAAAATCCCATGAGATTTTTTTTTCCTCCAATAAATGACTCAAAAAAACTAAAAGTGGTGTTGGGGTTCAAGTGGTAGAGAGCTAGCCTTCAGCACAAAAGGGCTCAGGGACAGGGCCTAGGCCCTGAGTTCAAGTCCCGGGACCAGTAAATAAATAAAAGAATGACTGGGTTGAAGGGTCGTGTTCTGGTTTAGGGGGTGAGTTAGTCTCTCTGACTTACTGCCCAGTGGCTGACTCAATGGGTCTTGGTTGTAGGTTTCAGTCTGACAGCAGCTGCCTCTCCTTGTGGCTGGATCTCTGCTCTTCGATGTGCTCCAACCCCAACCTGAGTACCTTGTCCATCAACCAGAGCTTTCTGAGCTCCTCCTCAGTGCAGGTGCTCAGCCAACACCTGAGCAGCAAGACCTGCCTTGTCAATAAAGTGCTGTGAGTAGAAAGTTTCTTGGGACCTGAGGAAGTGGGTGCGGGGGCCATGCCTGCCTGCTGAGTGTATAGCTCTAGGATCTGAGTGTCCTCTGGGGGTCCTGGCCAGGTCTTCAGAACAGAAGCAGTGAGAAGGGTAGAGAGCTCTCCTGCTCCATCAGGGGGAGCCCCCGAGTTCAAATACCAGTCGTGATACCCAATTCCCACCCCTGGGTCCTTTGTTTTGTTGTTGTTGCTCAAGGTGAACACTCTACCACTTGAGCCACTTCCAGCTTTTTTGAGTAGCTTATTGCAGATAAACCGTGACCTTCAGATCAGATCTCAGCCTCCTGAGCAGCTAGGATGACAGGCATGAGCCCCTGTCCCGGGCCCCTGACTTCCTATTTTGTTCCCTGGGAGCCCCATGAAGACTTGCTCAGAGCTGCTATGTGTGGATAGCTGGGATCTAATCAGTCTGGCAAGTTTCTGGTAGCTATGACAGGGCCTTTGTGCCTGGGTCACCTGCCCACAGAATTGGAACTGAAATCTGGCTTCTAGACTTCCCTGTGGCAGTGGAAGAGGGGATCCTGAAGAAACCAGAGCTGGCCATATACGCTTGCACTCATTGGGGGGATGGTACCCCACTGCTGGAATCCACGCTATGTCTGTTTTCTTAGGATCCAATACCTCACCCCCGAGTTCATCTATCCAGTTCTGTGCCTGGGCCTCATCGGCAAGCAAAGCCTCACCCACCTGGCCCTGGAGGGGCGCATCCAGGAGGACTGGGCACGCCTGCTGCTGATGCTTGGGGAGATGCTGAAGAACCAGCACTGCGGCCTGCAGTCCCTGAGGTGAGAATCAGTTTAGCCTATGGAGTGGCGAGACATGGGAGTGTTAGTGTTAACTTGCCCCTTTGAGATGAGGCCGTACACGGACCAGGCAGGTGTCTGCGCCACATTTGAGCCGGATCTGATGAATTGGGGCAGTCAGGAGCCTGAGACTGGGGGAGGTAAAGGGTGGCAGTTCAGAGAGGCCCTCCCAGCGCCCTATCTCGAGGCCTCCCAGGTGTGTAACTTGGGTTTTCTGCCCTAGGCTGGGCACCTGCTGCCATGCAACCCCCCAGCAGTGGGCTAACTTCTTCCTGGCCGTCCAAGCCAGCCCATCCCTGACGGCCCTGGACCTCACGGACAATGAGATCCTGGACCAGGGCTCTATGCTGCTGTGTGAGACCCTGATGCAGCCTCTCTGCTCCATACAGAAGCTGTCGTGAGTCTCTGGGCCACTGAGAGAGCAGGAGATGGGGAGGGGGCACCAGGCTTCCAGGAGCCAAGCGTGCTGGGGGCTTCCCTCCCCCAATCCGCTCTCCCCTCTCATTCCCCTTGTGCTTCTCTGACAGCCTGGAGAACTGTCAGCTCACACAGGCCTGCTGCAAGAAGTTGGCATCCACCCTTGTCGTCAGCCAGCTGACCCACCTGAGCCTGGCCAACAATAACCTCGGAGATGAGGGGGTGAAAATCCTATGTGAGGGCCTGAATCACCCCGACTGCCAACTGCAGAGCCTGGTGTGAGTCCCTGCTGTGTGTGTGTGTGTGTGTGTGTGTGTGTGTGTGTGTGTGTGTGTATGTGTGTGTGTGTGCCGCGTGCGTGCATGCGCGCGCACGTGTGCATGTGTGTACACCCATGTCTGTCCATCCCCAGACCATCTCAGGAATGTCCCACCCCTCCATCCTCAGACAGGAAGTTAAAAAGCCTTTAGGCTGGGCGCTGGTAGGTCTCACGCCTGTCATCCTGGCTACTCAGGAGGCTGAGTTCTGAGAATCACAGTTCAAAGCCAGCCTGGGCAAGAAAGTCCATGAGACTCTTATAAACCACCAGAAAACCAGAAGTGTTGCTGTGGCTCAAGTGGCAGAGCGCTTGCCTTGAGCTGAAGAGCTGAGGGACAGTGCCCAGGCTGTTCAAGTCCCATGACTGACCCCTTCCCCCCTCAAAAAAAGCTTTAAGAATATCTACAGCTTTTCAATGTGAAGTAGAACCTTTTTTTTTGGTTTGTGATTTTTATTGTAAAGATATATAAAGGTGTTAGTTTCCTAAGTCAGTGCATAATGGATGTTTTAGGTTGTCAGGAGTGGCGGACTTTTGGGGTAGACCACAATTTTACTAGGCCAATCAAATTCAAGTCTTTTTGGAGGTCGTGGGTCTTGAACTCTGGGCCTGGGCGCTGTCTCTCAGCTCTTCCGCTCAAGGTGAGCACTCTACCACTTGAGCCACAGCGCCACTTGGGTTCATTGGAGGTAAGACTTCCTGCTCAGGATGGGTTTGAACTGCAGTCCTCAGATCTCAGCTTCCTGAGCATCCAGGATTACAGGCATGAGCCACCAGCTCTGGCTAAATTCAATTCTTAAAAACCAAAATATAATAAAAGATAAGTGAACTTGATTCTTAAGCACAAAATCTGAGATCCCCAACCCCACCCCATGATTTTTTCCTTCATCTCTGAACACACAGGATCTCTGACACATTCAGGATGTCCGGGGTGGGGCTCAAGAGGGTAATCCCAGGGCTGCCAAGGACAAAGCTTAACTATGCTTCATCTTGAGAAAACAAAGCTGGATGTGGCGTTATTTGCCAGTAGAGGGAGGAGGCATTGGGCTAGGCAGAAGTCAGACTTGTGTGAAAAAGGAGCAGCGCAGAAAGGGCTGGAAGTGGCTCCAATGAGTTCAAACCCAGCAGCCCTGCTGAAGATGAGCCAGCACACACTGTCCACCTAGGAGCTGCAAGGTGACAATCATGGATGGCTTCATCCTTTAGCAATTGGGCCAGGCAGACATGGTGTAATTCTGTAGCCCAGGTTCCATGCTGCACCACAGAGGGAAGACACGCCTCTCTGATTGTCCCACAGGTTGCGCCGCTGCAACATCAGGAAAGATGGCTGCCGCCCCCTCTCCAGGCTTCTCCAGACAGGCTGCAGTCTCACAAGCCTGGACCTGAGTCTGAATTTCATCGACAGTGGTCTCTTGATGCTCTGTGTTGCCTTAAGGAGAGGAAATTCCATGCTGAGAACCCTGGGGTTGGTATTGGGAAACCTGTTCCTCCTAGATTCCTTCCTATCTTGCCATCCTAGCTGTGTCCTTCATCAACCACTGAAGGGGCTGCTGAGTTCTGCTTCTCTCAGGCCCCAATGATCAGGAAGCAGAGGCTGACCCCCCCATCCAGTACTCAGGGAGCTTGGGGGACAGGGCCCAAACCCCAGAGAAGGCAGGGCCCTGTCAGTGAGCTCCCTGTCTTCTCTCAACCATGTCTCTGCCAAATGTATACATTGACAATGTCCTTTGGGACAGGCGCTCTGCTGGAAAGAGAATCTAGGTGGTGACATTTCTCTTAAGCTTTGTTGCAGAGACAAAGCCACTAGAATATAGGGTGTTTTTTTGTTTTTGTCGGTCATGGGGGTTGAACTCTGGGTTTGGGCGTTGTCAGTCCACTCTTCAGCTCAAGGCAAGTGCTCTAACACTTAGGCCACAGTGCCACTTCCCACCTCTCACCTACCATATGACCTACATCCTCCTATGGTCTTTATTTTGTGGAATGGATCAAAGCTAGAGACCTGTACTTAAAAGAAAGAAAGCCACCAGGCACCTATGGCTCACGCCTGTCATCCTAGCTACACAGGAGGTTGAGATCTGAGGATCACGGTTCAAAGCCAGCCAGGGCAGGAAAGTCTGTGAGACACTTGTGTCCAATAAACCATTAGAAAACCAGAAGTGGTGCTATGGCTCAAGTGGTAGAGCACTCACCTAGAGTTGAGTGCAAGGACAGCACCCAAGCCCAGAGTTCAAGCCCCACGAATGACAAAAAAAAAACAAAACCCTGTAGTCTTTAAATCATCTCTGGGGGAATTATAAAACCTGTGTAAACTATTGTTTAGGGAATAATGACATGAATATTTTATACATGCTCAGAACTGTTACATTGGTGCGTGCATGCGTACCTGCGTTGATCCTGGGGCTTGAACTTAGGTCCTGGGCACTATCCCTCAGCTCTTACGCTCAAGGCTGGCGCTCTACCGATTAAGCCACATGCCACTTACTGTTTTCTGGTGGTTTACTGGAGATAATAGTCTCATGGACTTTACTGCCCAGACTGGCTTTGAACCGTGATCCTCAGATCTCAGCCTCCTGAGTAGCTAGGATGATAGGTATGAAACAACAGTATCTGGCTGCTTTTTGTTTTTAAACTTCAGTATCCAGAGGAAACAAACTTGGAGGGCCTGGTCTTTGCTAGACGATTCTTACCACTTGACCCACACTCCCAGCCTCTTTTATTTTTGTTGGTTTTTTGGTATTTTTCCCTGGTTATTTTAAGGATAGTGTCTTTTTTTGTCTGGGTGTGCGTAGACCATCTTCCTATTTATGCTTCCTGTTGCAGCTGGAATGATGGTCCCACACCACCATACCCAGCTATTGGTCATGAATGGAGGTGTCTTATGAACTTCTTGCTGGGTGGGCCTTGAACTTCTGATCTGGGCTTTAGGAATAGCCAGGATTTATAGAGCTGTGGCTGCTCCCTGAGGAGCATGGGTTGTTGCTCTCTTCCCCCACAGGCTCTGGGGCTGTGCCATCAGTCCTCTGTACTGCCAGGAGCTTGCGATGGCCCTCCACGACAACCAGGAGCTGCACATGCTGGACCTGGGCCAGAATAACTTGGGGAAGACTGGAGTCCAGGTGATCTTGGAAGCTTTAAAAACTAGCCGCACTTCTCTGAAGATTCTCAGGTATGGCTTGTTTCTCTCACCGGGCCCATTTCCCTCAAAGAGAACAGTCTTGATACAGATCCATTTTCTGATCTCAGCCTCCTTAGTTGCCTGGCAAGAATTCTTATTTCCTGGGTCAATTTTTTTTTTCCTGGGCTGGGAAGGTGGCTCAGTGGTAGAGTGCTTGCCTTGCATGCATGGGGCCCTGGGTTCGATTCCTCAGCACCACATAAACAGAAAAAGCTGGAAGTGGTGCCGTGTGCTTGAGCTGAAGAGCTGAGGGACAGTGCCCAGGCCCAGAGTTCAAGCCCCATGACTGCTCCCTCCCCCCCAAAAAATTTTTCTGCTTGCACACTGGTGGCTCACACCTGTCCTAGCTACACAGGAGGCTGAGAGCTAAGGATTGCAGTTCAAAACCAGGTTGCAAAAGACCTTGAGAGTCTTATCTCCCCCAAACCACCAAAAAGCCAGACATGGAGCTGTGGCTCAAAATGGGTAGAGTGCCAGCCTTGAGCAGAGAAGCTCCAGGACAGCACCCAGGCCATAGGTTCAAGTCCCAGGCCTGGTGCACGTGCATGCACACAGCTTCTTGCAGGCATTTTGGTTCTTTGGGCAGCTGGAAATGAAACAAAGTGCCCAGCAGCCCTGCCCTCTGGCCCTCTAGGTTGAAGATGGGTGAGTCGAGCGAGAAGATGCAGAATCTCCTGCAGGAAGTGAAGAAGCACCTCCCTGGCTTGGTGATCGAGGAGGTGACCAGCTCCACAGTGCTGTCTTACTGGGATTTCTTTTCTCTGAGCCCCTGAGCTCCTTGCTGCTGCTGCTGATGGAGTCTCAGCTCCCGGGCCTCACTGTGACGGCCCGAGGCCCACAGGTGCCACTTGTCGCCGGCCATGAAGCCAGCACCGTGGTCTCCCCACAAGTCACACATCCCCTTCTGACCCCTTCTGATCACAGTTGTCTCACATGGTTAATAAAAAAGTGAAAGCACTCGGTCTGCAGTTTCATTTATTCAGGTGCTCGAGCAGATCTGGGATCCTCTGTGTTGACTTAGACGAGGAAGGAGGAAAAAGGCTCACTAGGAAATTATGATTTAGAAAAATCATCCTGTGTGTCTGTCTGTGCTTGATCTCAGGGCCTGGGCCCTGTCCCTGAGCTCTTTTTCCCAAGGCTGTCTACCACTTTATAACTCCACTTCCAGTTAATTGGAAATGAGTCTCAGACCTTTCCTGGCCAGGCTGGCATTGGACAGCAATCCTCAGCTCTCAGCCTCCTAAGTAGCTGGGGTTACAGTTGTGAGCGCTGGTCATGAGGTTTGAACTCTGGGCCTGTATTGCCCTGGAGCTCTTTTTGCTCAAGGCTACACTGACACCTGGCTTTTTTTTTGCCAGCTTTATTTTAAGACTCGTTTAATCTATATGAACCAGTTTATATGAACTGGTTTCAAAACATCTTAGAGGATGTTTTTCCTAGAACTTAACATAGTTAATACGTTCTGGCCCCAATGGTCTTTGTTTAGCATAGCAGTCACAGGTAAATGAATGATCATGTCTGCCTTAATAAAACTTTATGAAATGGAGCACCTGGACAGATCTGATCTCGGAGGTATAGTTTTCTAATTCTGACTTATCCTTTTGCAAAGTATCAGTTTGTGTTTTTTTTTGCTAGTCCTGAGGCTTGAACTCAGGGCCTGAGCACTGTCCCTGAGCTGCTTTTGCTCAAAGCTAGCACTCTACAACTTGAGCCACAGCACCACTTCCTGATTTTTGTTTATGTAGTACTGAGGAATTAAACCCAGGACTTCATGCATGCTAGGCAAGCGCTCTACCACTGAGCCACTTTCCCAGCCCTTGTGGGGTTTTTTTGTTTGTTTTGGGTCCGGTCGTGGGGCCTAAACTCTGGGCTTGGGCGCTGTCCCTCAGCTCTTCAGCTCAAGGCTAGTACTCTACCTCTTGAGCCACAGCGCCACTTCCGTTTTTTTTTTCTTTTTGCTTATGTGGTGCTGAGGAATCGAACCCAGGGCCTCAGGCATGCAAGGCAAGCGCTCTACCACTGAGCCACCTTCCCAGTCCCCCCTTGTGGATTTTTTTTTTTTTTTTTTGAGTCTGATTGTGGGGCCTGAACTCTAGGCCTGGGCGCTGTCCCTCAGCTCTTCAGCTCAAGGCTAGCGCTCTACCACTTGAGTCACAGCACCACTTCTGGCTTTTTTCTTTTTGCTTATGTGGTGCTGAGGAATCGAACCCAGGGCCTCTTGCATGCAAGGCAAGTGCTCTACCACTGAGCCACCTTCCCAGCCCCCCTTGTGGGTTTTTGTTTTGTTTTTTTTTCAGGTAAGTGGTAGGTTTGTTTATTCAGTAGACCTGCTGGGACCAGGCAAGGTTGGCACTCCACGCGGCTGGGAAAGAGAGGAAAGAGAGAGAAAAGAGCTAGAAAAGAGCAGAGAGAGCAAGAAAAGAACAGAGAGAACGTCTGGGCCTGGGCTAGGCCTTATCTAGGGTATGGGTGGAGAAAGGTGTGGCCACATCAAATTCAGATGTGACCTTTGTGGGGTTTTTTGAGAAAGGGTTTTGAACTTAAGATCCTCATGCCTCCCCCCTCCCTCCTTCCTTCCTCCACTTTTCCAGTGCTGAGATTATAGGCGTTCACTTTTGGTCCCAGCTCAGCAAGTGAGTAAAGTGTTGCATCCATAAATTGTTTTAGTCTCACACTGATAAAAAGCATACACTTCAAAATATAAGCAAATAAAGTGATAATGCATTTTGCTTCTATAAATCAACAAGGTATTTCACACGGATCCTTCGTACAAAAGGTAAATTTTCAAATGAAGCTTTGGTTTAGTAGCGCTGATTGACCATACACGAAAGTATCTGAAATTTGTTCAAAAAGTCATTGGCAATCGGGCTGGGAAGGTGGCTCAGTGGTAGAGCGCTTGCCTTGCATGCCTGAGGCTCTGGGTTCGATTCCTCAGCACCACATAAGCAAAAAGAAAAAAGCTGGAAGTGGTGCTGTGGCTCAAGTGGTAGAGCGCTAGCCTTGAGCTGAAGAGCTGAGGGACAGCGCCCAGGCCCAGAGTTCAGGCCCCACGACTGGACCCCCCCCAAAAAAAAGTCATTGGCAAGCCAGGCATGGGGGTCCCACGCCTGTCATCCCAGCTGCTTCAGGAGGCTGCGATCTGAGGATCATGGTTGGAAGCCAACCCAGGGAGGAAAGTCCCTAAGACTCTTATCTCCAGTTAATCACAGAAAAAGCCGGAAGTAGCATGCTGGGCTCTGCTCTCCCAGAAGCTCCTTCAGCTTTGTGAACAGCCACTTTCACAGGAAGTAACTGTGGGCAGCAATGGCCTTCCTGGGGGCCAGGGCATGAGAATGTGTGAGAATGAGGGCCCAAAGCACACTGCCCACATCCCCCTCCCCGCCCCCCGTGACATCACAGGGACTCTGGGCTCCGGGTATGTGGACCGACAAGGGTTGGGGGAGCTGGAGATCACCCCACAGAACTGCCCCGTTCTGGAACCTGGCTCTTCCTCCTGTCCCTGGGTATCTCCCTGAAGGCAGAATCAAGCACACTAGGGATACATGCACACCGAGTCCAGTGCGGCCTGAGCTAGACTGCTACATGCTGGAAGGAGCCTGGGTGTCCATCAGCAGATACAGATTCTGTGTTGTGTAGGAACACAATGGAGTACTATGGAGTACTATCTAGCCATAAAGAATGAAATTATGTCACTTGCTGGAAAACAAATGGGACCAGAGATCGTTGTGTTAAACAAACAAACAAAGACTAAGCTGGATGCCGGTGGCTCATGCCTGTAATCCTAGCTACTCAGGGTGCTGAGATCTAAGGATCACAGTTCAAAGCCAGTCTGGGTAAGAAAGTCTGTGAAACTCTTATCTCCAGTGAACCACCAAAAAAGCCGGAAGTGGAGATGTGGCTCAAGTGGTAGAGCACCAGCCATGAGTGGAAAAGCTGACACAGTGCCCAAGTCCTGAGTCCAAGCCCCAGAACCAACACACACACACACACACACACACACACACACACACGACCAAAGTCATTAAAAGTATGGTTTTTCAGTAGAAAATACAGCACTTCAAATGTTGCAGAGACAGTGAGGATTTATGGACAAGGACATGGAACCCCTTCCAACCCCACTTCGGGCGATGGCCCCCCGTCTCCTGCAGTGCCCCCCTCAGTCTGCCCATCCCAGCTCAGGCAGCTCAGGGTCCCGGCTTCTCCTCCCGGTTGGGCACCGCGGCTCCTGCCGTCCATCCAGGGCCTCCGTGCTGTCTGCCGTCTGCTGCGTCCCCAGCCTGCAGCTCCGGCCTGCGCCTTCTTCCTGCTTATCCGGTCCCCAGCCAGCAGCCACGCCAGGGCCACTAGCACCAGGAGTGCCAGGCCAAGGCGAAGGAGGTTCTGAGCTGTGTGATCCCCAGGGGTGAAGTCTGCAGTCAGAGGAGATAGGGTGACAGCCCCCCCACCATCCAGCCCAGCCTGGCTCCTTCCCCAGAGCCTGGCACCCAGCCTCCTCTTACCCTGCTGCAGTCCCCACTCTGGGATGGAGTTGAAGGCCTGCCAGGGACCTGCAACACGGCAGAGAAGAAGGAGGAAGGAATGGAGAGCCTGGCCTGCAGCCCCGACTCTTCACACTGTGTACGGTCACCCCACACTCCATGCCCGTCCCAGGGGGTCTATCTTCTGGGGGAGCCCCTCTTTTGATTTGGCCAACCTCATCTCCCTCTCCTCACCCAGAGGCAAAGGTCCGATTGAGCTCTGAGCAGTACTTGTGTGTGTGTGTGTATGCCAGTTCTAGGACTTGAACTCAGGGCCTAGGTGCCATCTTTGAACTTTTTCACTCAAGGCTGGTGCTCTACCACTTGTGCCTCACTCCTACTTCTGGTTTTTTAGCCAGTTAATGGGATGTAAGAGTCTGACACACTTTGCTGCCTGAGCTGGCTTTGAACCTTGATCCTCAGATCTCAGCCTCCTGAGTGGCTGGGATGGCATGCGTAAGCCACTGGTGCTTGGCAAAAAATACATTTCTAATGTCATTGAGAAGCTTTGATGCCCTCCCTCCTCACCACCCCCCCCTCCATGATTAGAAGTCCAGCTACTCACCAGGAGAGGAGGTGGATGGGTTTGTGGGGGCAAAGCTGGTGTTTCCAACATCCCCTGGAGAGAGAGAGGAAGGTCAGGATTTCTGTCTCCCTGCCTGCCCTCTCTCCAGTGGCCCACGAGTGTCGGAACATGTCTCCAGGAGTGGCAGTCCCTCTGCTGCCACCCAGCACTGCAGGTGGGAGGCAGGGCCTGGGCAGGGCCTCACCTCTGACCTCCAGCCTCACCTGTGACCTCCAGCCTCACAGGGTTGCTGGGGAAAGACCATAAGTGGTTGTTGTATGAGCCAAAGCATCGATAGGTCCCCCGGTGGGATCGGGTCGCAGGGCCCATGGGAAACTCGGCCTGGAGATTCCCGAAGCGGAGCTGCTCAGGGCCGGACCACCCCTCCTTCATCAGAAAGAACGTGTTCGTGGCCATGTCTAGCTGGCAGCGGAAGGTCACAGGCTCCCCCATGGCCACCTCGGGTCCCGGGTGGACGGAGAGGGTGGGCGTGTCGTACAGTCCTGCGAGGGAAGGTGTGTATGCAGCGTCTCCACCAAGCCCCTCCCAGCAACCAAAAAACGGGGAGCATCATCTGCATCTGCGACCCTCCTCTATTTCCTCAATCTACGCTGGTCTTGAACAAGCCTTCCCCGAACCCTCCTTCCACACAGCCTCTCTGAGGCCAGCTTCCAGGACAGTGAGTCCCTGCCAGTGGTCCCGCTTTTGCCCTTTTTTTTTGGTCGGTCGGTCGTGGGGCTTGAACTTGGGGCCTGGGCGCTGTCTCTCAGCTCTTCAGCTCAAGGTGAGTGCTCTACCATTTGAGCCACAGCACCACGTCCAGTTTTCTGGTGGTTTACTAGAGATAAGAGTCTCACAGACTTTCCTGCCCAGACTGGCTTTGAACCTCAATCCTCAGCCTCCTGAGTAGCTAGGATGACAGGCATGAGCCACCAGCGCCTGGCTGTGGTTCTGCTTTTGATCTGTTACAGTGGAGGCCTGACTGCCTCTTAGAAAGGTAGAAAGCAGAGCCAGACACCCGGGTGTGGGAAGGCTGGGAGCAGGGGTTCATGCCTGTAATCCCGAGCTGCTTCCAGACTGAGATCAGAGGATTGTGATGTGAGGCTAGCCTGGATTCTTGAGACTTCAATCTCAACTGATTCCTGGGCACTGTGGGGACGCCTGTCATCTCAGCTGCTTGGGAGATTGGGAGAATCGTGATTCTAAGCTAGCTGGGCAAAGAAGTTCCAGCGACCCCATCTCAATAGAAAAAGCTGGAAGGATACTTAGAAGGATCGTGGTACAGGGCAGCCTGGGCAAAAAGCAGGCACTGTCTCAAGAAAAAAAAGAAAACAATAACAAAAACAGAGCAAAAAGATCTAGAGGTATGGCTCAAGCAGTGGTGTGCTTGCGTAGAAAGCACAGAACCCTTAGTTCAAATCCTAGCACTGTTCACCTGGCTAGAATTATAGATTTGAGCCACTGGCACCTGGCTTCATCACAGATTGGTGTGTGTGTGTGTGTGTGTGTGTGTGTGTGTGTGTGTGTAAGAGAGAGAGAGAGAGAGAGAGAGAGAGAGAGAGGGAGAGAGGGAGAGAAGGAGGGAGAGAGAGAGAGAAAGAGAGAGAGAGAGACTGACACGGGGCTTGAGCTCAGGGCTTGGGCATAGACCCTGAGCTTTTTCATTCAAGGTTGGCATTCTACAGTTTGAGCCACAGCTCCATTTCTGGCTTTTTTGGTGGCTCACTGGGGATAAGAGTCTCACGGACTTTCCTGCCTGGGCTGGCTTTGAACCGTGATCCCCAGATCTCAGCCTCCTGAGTAGCTGGAATGACAGGCATGAGCCATTGGCACTTGACCATCCCAGTTATCTTTTGAGGATACTTGCTGCAATTGGGGTTCCAGCCATCTGTCCCCAGGACAGGATGAGTGACTGTGGTTAACACCGCCCCCCAAGCCCCTGTGACTGAGAAAGAAGGACCCCAGAGTCGCATGACGGGACGTTGTCCCTGCGCCTGGACGGCTACCTGTCACCACCAGGTCCAGCAGGTCACTGTACTCGGACCACAGCTCTCCACTCCAATAGAGGCATCTGTACTGCCCGGCGCTGCCCTGACTCACGACTGAGATGAGGAACCTGGCGTTGCTCTCCGACCCCGGTGACTTGGGTCTCTCCACTGCATGAAGGCCACCTTCAAAGTGCAGCTGGTACTCCACGGCCCCCCGTACTCCCTGGCACCAGATCTCCACCCGGCTCCCCACCGGAACCAGGTGGCTGGGTATGGCCCGGATGGTGGGTTTCGAGAGAGTCTCTGGGAGCGGGAGAGAGCATGGCGGTGGTGACACATCTCATCTCACCCCACTGTCCACCCTGCTGCTGGCCTGGGGCACTCCCAGGGAGATGGAGCCCCTCCTTCCACTTCCACCCTCCCCTCCCTCCATGTTCTCTCCAGGACACTGGGGCCTAACGCTGACGAGCACCCCTGGGACTCTGGTGGGAGGACTCACGTGTATGCACGCCGATCTGGCTCAGGCACAGCCCTGGAACACAGCCTTGGTGAACCCCACACCCCACGCCGGCCTGCTGCCCTCCCCTCTGTACCCCAGGACTCACCGGCCCAGAGCAGAGCAGGGAGCGTGGACGGCATGTCCCAGGGGCTCCCAGGCCAGTGTGGGGCCTGGCAAACGCTGGGCTCAGTCTGCTCAAGACGCACAGGATATGGGGGTGTGGGGGAATTTCACACTGAATTTTATTTTGACAAGAAAGCTCACAGCTCTCCCTCCCTCCACTTCTGGCCATGGGCTGAAGCATCGCACATGTGACCGCTCTTGGTACACTTGTGGTCTAACCAGATCCTCACTCTTTAGATGGTCATTTATTTCTGGGTCTACCTCTGCATTTCTGCATGCCCCGCCCAAGAAGTCATGAAGCAGCACACACAGCAAAAGTCCAAGAACACAGCAACAAAGAAAAGACTTCTAATCTGGAATTTAGTGCGTATTTGTCATGCATGAGGGTTTCATCGTGATATTTCTGTAGCCTCTTTGAGCAGGTTGACCTCTCCCTCCACCATAGTCTCACTTCTCCCCTCCCCTTGTCCCCTTTTCCAACAGCACTTGGTGGATTTCACTATGCTCTCGTAATACGAATGTGTGTGTGTGTGTGTGTGTGTGTGTGTGTGTGTGCGCGCGTGCTCATGCACATGTGTCTAACTTCCTCTGATCCTCTTCATCTCTCAGTATCCCCTTTCCTCCTCTCCACTCTGGCTGATCCCTTCATAGTTACCATGTTTCCTGTTTTACACTTTTGTCCCTTCAGCACCACATCACAATCTCCACCACCATCATCACCATTGTACTTCAGATAAGAAAGGAGTGTTTTCTTCAAGCCGGTGTCCAGTGGGGTTTAATTCCATCTTTAACTCAGATTCCTGTCCTTCTCCCTCTCCATTTAGGAGAAACCTTTCAGGGGGCCTACAACTTTGTCACACCAGGAGGCCACACAGGAGGAATCTTCCCAGCTGACTCAAGAAGTGAGCTGAAGAGCTTCCAACTGTAGCCAGGGTATGAATGGGAAACGTTTGTCTGAGTCCTAGAACTCCATGCAAATGAAGGACTACATTTGCACCAATCACAGCACAGTCCATGGAATGAAGGGCTATGTCTGCACCAATCATAGGCCTTGTGCTGGTCTGCCAGGGGAATTGTTCCCCTGGTGGCGGTGGTAAAAATGACCACTAGAGTTCACTGAGGTCCGGTTTTTCTCACGTATTTTGGCCCATTCATCAGATGCTGTTCTCTTGAGTCCAGATGACAAGTTGAGACTGTAAATTTAGGCCAGAGTTGGGGATAATATCAAGCTTTCCTAGAACTCTGCACCTCTGGCTCTAGCACGGCTGTTAGCAAACTTTTTCTATAAAGGACTGTGCACTATGTAACTTTTGGGCCACACTGTCTCCTCCATACTGTTGTCCCTGTCACGAAAGCATCCTTTGAGAATAAGTAGACAAATGAACATGGTTGTGTTTCAATAAAACTTTATTTGCAGAAATGGGTAGATGATCTGATTTGAGGGCTGAGTGTTGGTGATCTCCTGCTCTAGGTCCATCAGACCTTTTGCCCACCTACCAGGTGTTTCGGTCTGTTGTTCATCTAAACGGAAAGATAGGGTCTTCCACTTGAAAGCCATCCACCCTCACGCATGCATCTTGATGTGGCACTCTCTGGTTTGCACATTTCTGTGGTCCTCATTGTCCACACGAGAGATACCAAATGCCACTGGTTACCCACAGTTCCCAGGCTGGCTGTGGTCATGCTGCCTGCTGCTGTCCATGTGGGCTTGAGGAAGGGTGTGGCCCCTGCGAGAGGCCTCCCAGGCCTTTCTATGGGAGTGCAGGGGCACAGATCGCACTTGGTCTGGGCTTGCATCTGAATTCTGTGGACACTGTGGCTCCTGCTGAGGATTCCTCAGGCCTCTGGGAGGCTGCAGGGGTCACGTTGGTCCTGGTGGAAATGTGATCATCCAGCACCGGGACCCTCAAGTTCCTGCTGCTTGTCTTGTGGTTACATGAAGCCCACGTGGAGAACCCAGGACAGCCTCCTCTCTCATTCTCTCTCTCTCTCTCTCTCTCTCTCTCTTTCTCTCTCCCTCCCTCCCCCTTCCGCATTCTCTCCCCCCCATTCTCTCTCTCTTTCTGTGTCTCCATCTCAAGTTAAACTAATTACAAAACTTGAAAGCAATCTCATCGCATAAACACGCACAGGCTTTGGGATGAGGGCGTCTTTGGGGGGGGTCCCCGCCGTGGTAATTAGTTCTCTGTATTAAATCCTCCTCTGGCTAAGATATGCGGACATGTTCCTGTTGTTCCAATGGAGCCATGACTACAGCTCCTTCCAGAACATTCCATGACTGGGAAGTTTGTGGGAGAGGGAATGAAACACAGCTCAGGCCTCTGACCTGAAGCCATGATCTCTAGAGGGTCACCAGGTGGTGAAGGCCATGTAGGAGAGTGAGGGTCATCACTCCGATGCCTGCCAGTGCCACCTGTGCCGGGGTCACGGGACCTAAAAAGAAACCAGCTGGGATTTTCCACTCCGGTCAAGGGTGCAGCCGCCATCTTGCTTACACAGCTTGACCTTGCCAAAGCCAAGAGGAGAGTCCTAGGGGAGAGTCACGTGGTGGTGTCCCAGAGGAACCACAGGGCCTGGCCAGGCCGACAAGGACAGCCTGTCCTGACCTCTTGGGAAAACAGTCAAGAGAAGGCATGAGGTGGCTCACGCCTATAACCCTAGCTACTCAGGAGCTTGAGATCTGAAGATTGAGGCTCAAAACCAGCATGGGCAGGAAAATCCGTGAGACTCTTACTTCCAACCAACCAAAACCCCAGATGTGGAGCTGTGGATCAGGGGTTAGTCTGTCAGTCTTGAGTGCAAAAGCACAGGGACAGAGCCCAGGCCTTGAGTTTAAGCCCCACCAGGAGCAAACACACACACACACACACACACACACACACACACACACACATACATTTACACACACACAGGCCTGTGCTGCCTGCTATGTTACTGTAGTACAAGCTATCCACTTGGGACGCTGGCTTTCCTAAGGGTTAGGGAATGACTCACACACTTGTGCCTAGATCTCCTGAACCAGGAAGAACCCTGGAAAGGAGACTCATGGAGCAGAACCTGCCAGCCCCTGCCTGCCCCCTGGACCTCAGCCTCCAGCTCCTGCTCCATGAAGACCACCCCAGCCACCCCCACTGTGCACACCTCGGGCAGCCCAGGCCCTGGTTCCCTGCCCCTCAGGTCCCAGAGGGTCTCACCAGGACACAGCAGGCTGAGGAGTGTGGGCCACATGGTGCTGATCCGGCAGAGACCAGGATGTCCTGGTGCCCAGCCGGTCCACCTGAGAGCTGACCACAGCATGCAAGTCCAGCCACAAGCTGTTCTCTGCCTAGCCCGGAAGTGAGATGGCTTCCTGGACATGATTCCACCCCAGACCTCTTCACAGTGCTCCTGCCCCTACACCTTTGTTCAGGACTGTCGAATTGTGTCACCAATGAGAGGGTTTCCATATACACTTTCTGTAGTTTTGCTTCATGGTGTGTGTGTGTGTGTGTGTGTGTGTGTGTGTGTGTGTGTGTGTGTGTGTGTGTGTGTGTGCCAGTCCTGGGACTTGAACTCAGGGTGCTCTTCCACTTTGAGCCACAGCGCCACTTCTGGCTTTTTGTTGGTTTATTGGAGATAAGAGTCTCTACCAACTTTTCTTCCCAGGCTGGCTTTGAACCGTGATCCTCAGACCTCAGCCTGCTGAGTAGCTAGGAGACAGGCATGAGCCACTAGAGCCTGTCCCTCATAGTGTCCTTTTATTAGTATGTGTTAATTGTACAAAATAACTTCATTATCAAACTTTCTTATATGAATATATATAAATTTCGATTTTATAAAGGTGCACATGCCCCCATTTCCCGTCTTCTTTTTTGTTGTTGTTGGTCATGGGACTTGAACCCTGGGCCTGGGTGCTGTCCTTTGGATCCTCAGCTCAAGGAAAGTGCTCTACCACTTGAGCCACAGCACCACTTCCAGCTTTTTCTGCTTATGTGATGCTGAGGAATGAAACCCAGAGCCTCATGCATGCAAAATGAGCACTCTACCACTGAGCCACCTTTCCAGCCCCCATTTCCCTGTCTTGTTGCCTCTCCCAACCATTGATCTCCTTCTCCACACATTTCCTTCTACTCTTCATGTTCTTTTTTTTGGGGGGGGTCCAGTCATGGGGCCTGAACTCTGGGCTGGGCGCTGTCCCTCAGCTCTGCAGCTCAAGGTGAGTGACCACTTGAGCCACAGCACCACTTCCGGTCTTTTTTTTTCTGCTTATGTGGTGCTGAGGAATCGAACCCAGGGCCTCATGCATGCAAGGCAAGCGCTCTACCACTGAGCCACCTTCCCAGCTCCATGTTCTTTTTTTTGGGGGGAGGAGGTCCAGTCGTGGGGCCTGAACTCTGGGCCTGGGCTCTGTCCCCCAGTTCTTCAGCTCAAGGCTAGTGCTCTACCACTTGAGCCACAGCGCCACTTCCAGCTTTTTTCTATTTGCTTATGTGGTGCTGAGGAATCGAACCCAGGGCCTCATGCATGCAAGGCAAGCACTCTACCACTGAGCCACCTTCCCAGCCCCTGTTCTTTTTTTTTTTTTTTTTAAAGAAAGCAAATCTAAGTCAGGAGCTGGTGGCTCATGCCTGTAATCCTAGCTACTAAGGAAGCTGAGATCTGAGGATTGCAGTTCAAAGCCAGCCCAGGCAGGAAAGGCTATGAAACCCTCATCTCCAATAAACCACCAGAAAACTGGAAGTGGTGCTGTGGCTCAAGTGGTAGAGTGCTCGCCTTGAGCTGAAGAGCTGAGGGACAGTGCCTAGGCCCAGAGTTTAAGTCCCACGACAGAAAGAAAGAAAGAAAGAAAGAGAGAGAGAGAGAGAGAGAAAGAGAGAAAGAAAGTCTAGATTCCATGGTTGAGAAAAACAGTGATCTCCAGTTCTATTTATTTTCCTGAAAAATTATATAATTTCATTCTACATGGATGAAAAATACTCATTTTATATATATCATAATATATATGATATATTCTTCCTTCATCTGTGGCTCAACCCTGGCTGATTGCACACTTGGCTTGTGTAAACATAGTGCACTAATGTGGGTGTGCAGAAAACATTACCCACCACCCACCCTTGAGGTTTCATCTTAAACAAAACCTCCTAAGGGAGCCTCAGAGGTGGGCTCCATCTTGAATGTCCTGGGGATCCACCGTCCCTTTATTGTAGTGCTGAGCTTGTTGGAGCCTTCCCAGGCTGGGCTCTGTCTGGACCTCCAGAGAATAGAGTGACCACGAGGATACTTGTAAAAGATCCTCTTAGCCAGGCGTCAGTGGCTCACGCCTGTCATCCTAGCTACTCAGGAGGCTGAGGTCTGAGGGTCTGGGTTAAACGCCAGCGTAGGCACAAAAGTCCATGAGACTATCATCTCCAATATACCACTCAGAAAACCGGAAGTGGTACTATGGCTCAAGTGGTAGAGCGCTGGCCTTGAGCTGAAGAGCTGAGGGACAGCGCCCAAGCCCAGAGTTCAAGCCCCATGACTGACAAAAAAAAAAACCAAGAAGAAGAAAGAAAGAAAGAAAAGAAAAAAAAAGATCATCATAGTTTATTGGCAATAACTGCTGCTATAGTTCTAGTTTGTTTACATCTTCTCAGTTTGCTGTGGCTAGGCTATTTTCAAAATGCCCTGTAATTGTTCTCTGAGTCCCACTGGAGTCTGTCAGTATCTTCCCTTTTCCTTTTTTTTTCTACAGTCCCCGAGCTTTCTTTCTTTGTTTTCCTGCTAAAGTGCAGCCACAGCTGCACTTCTGACTTCTCTGGTGATTGTTTGGAGATAAGAGTTTCACAGACATTTCCGCCCAGGCTGGCTGCGAACCTGGATGCTCAGATCTCAGCCTCCCCAGTGGCTGGGCTCTCAGGTGTGAGCCACCGGTGCCCCACCCAGTACTTTTGTGTGCATTTGTCTTCGACTTGTGGACCTTTGGGTTGCTTTGACCATGTAGGTAATAGGTCAAGTTCTTCTAGGAGCGCATTTGAGGAACCAGTGGCTCAGGTCCATGTTCAGGTGTCCCTTGAAAACACACCAGAAGTGGGAGAGGGGTTGAAGATGGGGGGAAGGTGGACTGTTGGGCTTTGGCTGTCTGCTACACAAGCCGAGGCTGGGAAGCTGTAATTATGTCCAAAGGCTGACAGTGCAGACCCCGGAGCCGGCATCACATGCCCGAGCCACCGGCAGAGTGGAGCCAGGAGACATGGGCATCGCTGCACACGAACACCCAGGGGCTGAGGGTGGAGAAGACGGAGGATGCCAGGTAGGACGAGCTGGCCAGTCAGGGGCTCGGGGTGCCCACCTGCGTGGAGCACAGCGCCAGGACACAAGCCAGGGCATAGAAGGAGAAGAACAGGCTGACCAGGAGCAGGACACACATGTGTGTGAAACAATATACCTGACCACTCTGTGCCATGGGGTTGCCATGACCACACCCGTATTGAGATTGACACCAATGGAAGGACTGCACCATTTTGAGATCTGAATAGTACTCCATTCTTACACACACTGTATTTTCTGTATCTGTTCATCTATAGAACAGAGATGCGGCTTGGCGAGGGATGGTTAAGATGAAGCTCTGCTCAGCAGGTCCAGTACTTCCAACAGTATTTAGCACAGAATTCCATATATATTTAGGGCTGTGGGCTGTGCAGGTTCTCAGCACAGGTGTGGAATGCTGGAGACGGGGGATAGCCTGTGCCCTTCACCTGGATCAGTGTGCACTGCGTATATGGACAGATGTCACCCGGTGTGCCACATAAAATGCACCAAAAGTTTAGATGTCTATAACTGCCCACCCCCCAAAATAATTCCACTTGTTTGAATGAAGGATTTAGTTTGTATCCACAGCTAATTCTTGCAGACTTACTTTCTGTCATCCCACCATGACAACCTCAGTCACAGAGAGACCACGTGACTATTCATGGTTCTGTGCTTAAGTCACCATGTAGTATGCATGAGGTCCTGTGCTCAATCCTAGCACTGAGAGAGAAAGAGGAGAGAGAGGAGAGAAAGAGAGGAAGAGAAAGACCGAGAGAATATCAAAGGATAGAAGGAGGGAGGGAGGGAGGAAAGGAAAGAGTTAGAAAGATGGGGAAGAGAGACCCAGATAGATCAAAGGAGAGAAAGAGGAAAGAAAGCAGAGAGCGTTAGAGGGAGAAGGAGGAAGGACAATAGAGAGATCTAAGAGAGGTCAGAAGCCTTGGAACAGGAAGATGAGGTAGAGTCAGTGTGTCAGAAATGTGGAGAAGATACTTTAGCCGCGTGCATTCTCGGTCCACTCCTAATCCAGGGAAGAGGAAGGGATTCTCTGCATCCTTGCCTTGCTGAGACTGAGTCTCTCTGTGGAGCCAAAGCTAGGATGGAACTCACTACCTGACCCAGGCTGAAGCCCAGAGCCCAGCCTTACCACGCTGATTCATGAGCACCCTTCTCTCCTGCAGCCCAGCTGTGTGCTGAGGAAGGAGGGGCACTTACTGAACGGGGCAGCGGCCGTCCAGGCCACAGTGCCAGCGGCTGGACCAAGGCAGGTGTCTCAGGTGCAGATGAAAGTCGGGCACCAGGAGGTCGTGGGCTGTCTGGGAGTGATTATCGTGTCAGCTCTGGGAGCATGACAGCCCTTGCGTGGGGACAGGAGGTGATCTGAGACAAACATCTCCTAGGGGTGCGAATCATTGCAAGACATTCCCCATGCTTGGCCAGGACTGTCAACTTGCAATGATGCAGTTCCCTGAGGAGCTCTGGCTGTGCCCAGGTGGCGGTGGTTTGCCACTTGTGCAGACTGAGCTGAGGAGTTTGGCAGGTCAGGTGGTGCAACACGTGTTTGCTTAGAAGCTTCTGCACTTTTCATGGGTTCACTGGGACCCAGTGTCATCCTGCATTGGGGGCCAGCTGTGGCCTCGTGTTCATAAGTCTGCCCAGTGAGATGAGACCAGCAGGGACCTAGAAAAACTTTTTTTTTTTTTGCCAGTCATGGGACTTGAACTCTGGGCCTGGGCGCTGTCCCTCAGCTCTTCAGCTCAAGGCTAGCCACAGTGCCACTTCCAGCTTTTTCTGTTTATGTGGTGCTGAGGAATCGAACCCAGAGCCTCATGCTTGCAAGGCATGCACTCTATCGCTGAGCTATCTTCCCAGCACCACTTTTTTTTTTATATAATTTTTTTTTTTAATCCTAGAGAAACTTTTGCTCCTGGCTTCCATAGGTACTTTTGAAGACTCTGACTCTGGTGTATGAGACAGGCAGGCAGGTAGGCAGGCAGGCAGGAAGGAAGGAAGGAAGGGAGGGAGGGAGGGAGGGAGGGAGGGAGGGAGAGGAGAGGGAGGGAGGCAAAAAGAAAGAATGAATGAATGAAAGAAAGAAGGAAGGAAGGAAGGAAAGAAAGAGAGAGAGAGAAGGAAGGAAGGAAGGAAGGAAGGAAGGAAGGAAGGAAGGAAGGAAGGAAGGAAGGAAGGGAGGGAGGGAGGGAGGGAGGGAGAGGAGAGGGAGGGAGGCAAAAAGAAAGAATGAATGAATGAAAGAAAGAAAGAAAGAAGGAAGGAAGGAAGGAAGGAAAGAAAGAGAGAGAGAGAAGGAAGGAAGGAAGGAAGGAAGGAAGGAAGGAAGGAAGGAAGGAAGGAAGGAAGGAAGGGAGGGAGGGAGGGAGGGAGGGAGAGGAGAGGGAGGGAGGCAAAAAGAAAGAATGAATGAATGAAAGAAAGAAAGAAAGAAGGAAGGAAGGAAGGAAGGAAAGAAAGAGAGAGAGAGAAGGAAGGAAGGAAGGAAGGAAGGAAGGAAGGAAGGAAGGAAGGAAGGAAGGAAGGAAGGAAGAAACACAGGGAGAAAATATCAAAGAACTAGCCTGTTTTGAGCCAGCCTAAAGTCATGAGAAAAATGGACAAAACAAAACAGAAATAAGAAGCATGATGCTAGTGTTTGAAGCCGTAATCCTAGCTGCTCAGGCGGCTGAGATCTGAGGATGGAGATTCAAAGGAGGCTGGGCAGGAAAGTCTGTGAGACTCTTATTTCCCATTAACCATCAAAAAAAGCTGAAGTGGAGATGTGGCTCTTGTGGTAGAGAGCCAACGTTGAGGTTAATTAAAAAAAAATAGCTCAGGGTCAGAACCTGAGTTGGGGTCCCTGTACTGTCCCTGACACACACACACACACACACACACACACACACACACACAAGCAGAGTCATGAAAGCATGGCATTTAATATAAGATAGAAAAACTACTTTCAATACAGTAGTCAAAGTACTTCAAATGTGGCAGAAAAAGTAAGGATTTATGGACAGGGACACAGAACTCCTTCCGCCCCCACTCCGGGTGATGGTCCCCCATTTCCTGCAATGCCCTCCTCAGTCTGCCCATCACAGTTCAGGCAGCTCAAGAGCCCGGCTTCTCCTCCCGGGTGGGCACCGTGGCTCCTGCCATTCACCCAGGGCCACCCAGCCGTCTGCCATCTCCCACGTCCCCAGCCTGCAGCTCCAGCCTGCACTTCTTCCTGCTCAGCCAGTCCTCAGCCAGCAGCCACACCAGGGCCACCAGCACCAGGAGTGCCAGACCAAGGCGAAGGAGGTTCTGGGCTGTGTGATCCGCAGGGGGACAGTCTGCAATCAGAGATGGAGTGACAGCCCCCTTCCCCCATCATCAAGCCCAGCCTGGCTCCTTCTCCAGGGCCTGGCAACCAGGCTAAGATCAACCTCTTGTATTCCCTACCCTGGGGTGGCATGCTTCTTTCAGAGGGAGAGAGAGAAAGTGGGGGAAGAGAGGGAGGAAGGGAGAGGGAGAGAGAGAGAGGAAGGGAGAGAGAGAATCATTTACTCACTAGGTCTGGAGTCTGGTTCTGAGGGTAAAGTAAAACTGTTTGAAGAATTTTCTAGAAAAGAACAAGACAGAGATGGGCAGTGAGGAGAGAGAAGGGGTCAAGGGCAGGGAGTCTCCTCTCTTCTACCCTGTGGCAACGTCCTGGAGGTGGGTCAGGTCCCAGCACACACAAAAAGGAAAGGAAGCCGAGCACTGGTGGCTCACACCTCTCATCCTAGCTACTCAGAGGCTGAGCTCTGAGGATCGCTGTTCAAAGCCAACCTGGGCAGGAAAGTCTGTGAGACTCTTATCTCTAATGACCCACCAGAAAACCAGAACTGGCGCTGTGGCTTAAGTGGTAGAGCGCTCCCCTTGAGCTGAAGAGCTGAGGGACAGCGCCCAGGCCCAGAGTTCAGGCCCCACAACTGAAAAAAAAAAAGGGGGGGGGTTGAGGGGCCGAGTGTGGAGGAAAGGAAAGGGCTCATGATGGAGGCCTGAGCCACAGGGGCGTGAGGTTAGAGCACCCACTCTTAACCTGATTTCCCAGATGGGGTGGGCAGTCAGCTTCCTGCGGAGCTCCCGCCACTCACATCTGCCTCTCAGAGCCACTCACACTCTGGGGCATTGACTCAGGTGTCCCAGCTCTCCTAAGCCCTTCTTCTACAACGGGGCTCCTGCCTGTGCCCCTGGCCTCACACAGGACAGGAGGAAGATGGACTCCCAGCCTGGGCTCAGGAGCTGAGGGGTCGTGGGGTGCTGGCCGTGCTGGGTCCTCTGGGACCCCACTGCCTCCCATTCAAGAGGCTCGGAGGAGCTGGGTGGGGGGTGTCAGAGAGGTGAGGGGGTAGGGGCCTAGGCGGGTGGTGTCCAAGGGCCTCTGCGTCCCCCTCAGTCAGGATGACGCCCTCCAATCCCTTTTGTGACCCCCACAGGAGGCTGACCTTCCCACCCAGGTCACCATGGGGCTGGGCAGAGCCGAGCCTAGGTTAGCAGTAGTGGAAATGCTCCCCATACCACCGCCAACAGGGCTAGAGAGGGGTCACCCCTGAATGTTGACCGCCATCACCTCCTGATAGATATGAGGCACAGAGTCACCACAGAGCACAGACCCCTCTCCCAAGGCAGAGCCAGGGCTGGGTTCCCTGCCTGGCCCCTCACCTGTCACCACCAGCTCCAGGGGCTCGCTGTGGTCTGACCAGCCAGCAGGGCTCTGGTAGAAACAGAAGTAGCGCCCAGCGTTGTCCTTTGTCATGGACCAGATGAAGAAGGCGGTCCTGTTCCCGGGTGTGCCTGGGATTTTTGAGGACCACCTATCTTTGTGTCCTTCTTTGTATAGACGGAACTCCTGGGCCTTCCAGGCCCCCTCACACCACAAGGTCACAGTGCTTCCCCGGACAACCACAGAGCCCGGCTCAGCGCGGAGGACCGGTCTAGGGAGGCTTCCTGAAAGGACATCAGAGACTGCACCCAGAACTTCCCTCTATTTACCGACCGACAACAGCCTCAGCGCCACCTGCTGCCCCCATCCCCTCTGCCCAGGGTGCCCTGTCCCCTGCTGACCCCCTCCCCTCCTCCCAGGAAAGCCCTGTGTCCCCTGCTGACCCCTCCCCTCTGCCCAAGGAAGCCCTGTCCCCAGGGAGGAAGACACACTCACCCCCCTGACCTTGGGCTGCAGAGTCTATACTCAGGCCTGAAATGAGTTGGTTCCCGTGAGAGGTGCGCTCTTCCCAGAGCCTCCTGAGCCTGAGGCCCTGGGTGGGGGGGACTGGGGCACCCACACTTCCCACCTTAGCTTCCCCTCCTGTCTTACCAATGTACAGCAGGGCTGCGAGTGCGAGGGCCATGCTGTGCGCACAGCGCCTGTGCTGCCTGCGGGGAAGCCGTGCCAGGCCACAAAGGCTCAGGATGTGGCTTTTGCCTCCTGGTCACAGGTTTGTCACACCCACAGTGACACAGAAAGGGGAAATGCCCATGCCCCGTAGGGTCTTCGTCCTCCTTCAGCCCCTCCACTCTCAGTCTTGCAAGTGTTTTGGGAGGAGGCAGAGCAGCAGGGTCACGGCCACCATGCCTGGAGCTCGGTTGTGGGGAGCAGCACAGAGGAGGGATGTGGGACACAGAGAAACAGAGAAACGCTGCCCCAGCATGGACCTCCCTTACTCACCAGACCCCCCATCTCCCCAGACCAAACACTGGTCCCTTTTCTTGCCTCCTCCCTGACCTTGTTCCCTGCAGAATTCTCCTGGTCCTGGCAGACGATCTAATGTTCCTTCCCCCTCCACGGTCCTGGCCGTGGGGAGGCAGGAGCCTCTCCTTCCTCTCTATCCACCTTCTTACTGTCAGCCTGGTGTCTTCCCCTCAGTGCTCAGAGGGGTAGAAGAGTCACCCCCATGTGTGACACACAGAGGCTCAATCGTGGGTCATTTCTGGATCAGGGTAAAATCCAAGTTTGGGACACTCATGGAGAGTAGGAACTCATGGAGATGGGCCTTTGTCTGCTCCAAGCATTGGAAACGGCCCAGAGAATATGTCTGAAGTTTGCTGAGCATCGACATCATGAGCAGAGAGAGAAAAAAACAAAGTTTCCCCATAAGGGGAGAGAGCCATGGCCATGCCAGAGGCTTCAGCTTTGAAGGCCTGGCGCCTGGGAGCATCCGGAGGCCCCGGGAGGTGGGGGCTCTTCCCTGTGGGTGAGGTGCAGTCTGGGGCTGGGGAGGTTGGCAGCTTTGTCCCTGCTCCTCCCCCATTTCCTCTGTGTTGTGCATGGCACTGGGCTTTCTCAGCTCACCACCTTGGCCTCATGGCCAACCCCAAGCTACCATGTGCTAAGACATGCTCTCTCCTGCATGGCCCCTGTGGGTGTGAGTGTAAGGGGCAGTTGGACTGGCAGATGCCCGCTGGGAGGGGTGCATGCCCAGGGCAGGAGGAACTAAGGACGCAAACTTCCTGATGCCAGTCATTGCATGAGTGGATGAACAAAATATATACATGCAACTGCATATTTTCCAGGCCAAAAACCCTCCAAAGAACAAATGAATCCTGTGATACGTTGCTGTCAGAGTATAATAGACTTTGCCAGAAAACTACACAGACACCCAGATACAAAGAACAAAGAAAGGTGTTTTGTGTGTGTGTGTGTGTGTGTGTGTGTGTTTTGAGGTTTATTGCCAGTAAAGGGGCTGGCAAGACCCCTCCCATAAGAGATGAGTGAGAAGCAGCGCTGGCTACTGTCTGGGGTGACCTATATAACCTAGGAGGTCTAGGAGGGACTGGAAGGGGTAGGAGGCAGAAAGCCTGCTGTGGACTTGAAGGCCAGGGGCTTCATCATGGCAGACTAGGATTTATGGCTGCTGCCCAAGTAATAGATAAGGGTCCTGCAGCTGCCCAGACCTGAAGGTCACTCTAAGGGGCTCTAGTTGCCTTCTATGGTGGTAGCTGCCCCAAAGAAGTGCCATCCCAAGGTAGAGGAGGTTGGAAGCTGATGATTTACTGCCTTACTACATGGGCCTAGTGCTGCCTAGGAAGGGAGCATGCCATGCTGTGGAGCGGGGAAGGAGCGTGCTTAGCCATGGAAAGGGAGCTCATTGGGCTGTTACAGAATCTCATGATCTCAGTACATGAGGAACAAAAAATAGCCAGGCTCCTAAGAAGAAAGAGCGTGGATGCTGGTTGTTGGGCTGTGGGTGGATGGAAGGAAGGAACACCTGCCGTTTTACACATGTAAAGTTTGCACATGTGAAATATGTGGAGGGGAGATTTCATCTTATGGGTGTGTTAAAAAAAAAGGAAAGGAAAAAAATGCAGTGTGCACAGGACTCATGTGAAATCACATAGAAGAAATGGAATTAGATAATGGTTACATTTTGGAGCAATGGAAATCCAGAGAAGACCATATGCACAGGAGAGGGAAGGAAGAAAGGAAGCAGACAGCCCACATGGTTTCAGAAAAAAGAGTGTGAGGAAGGAGGTTGGACAATATTTGGGGTTAAAAAAAAAAAAGTGACTGTCAGTAGGTTTACAAAAAGTACAGAAAAGCCAGGCACTGGTGGCTCATGCCTGTAATCCTAGCTACTAAGGAGGCTGAGATCTGAAGATTGTGGATCAAAGCCAATCTGTGCAGGAAACTCGAGAGACTCTTACCTCCAATGATCCAGTAGAAAATAAGAAGTGGCGCTGTGGCTCAAGTGGTAGAGCATTAGCCTTGAGATGAAGAGCTGAGGATCAGCGCCCAGGGCCAGAGTTCAAGCCCCCACGACCAACAACAACAACAACAAAAATGTCAGGGATTTTCCTGCTGGCCTGGCTTCAAACCTTGATCCTCACACCTATGCCTCCTGAGTAGCTGAGATGTCCGTCATGAGCCACCGGTGTTTAACTATTTTGTGTTTTAATGATAATGGGCCAGATGCTGTTTCTTTTCTGGTCTTGCTTGTTTGGTCTTGCATCTCTTACAACAATCTCTCTCTGTGTCTCTCTTTGTCTCTCTGTTTCTCCTTTTCTCTCCTTATCTCTCCTATCTAGGCCTGGCTCTCTCCTTATTGCTCAGGTGTTTCTTTATCATGACAGTAGCTCGGTAAGAAATCGGGGGCCTTCGCAGCTGGTGCAGGGATTGGGGCGAGAGTGGGGAAGCCCTCCCCCCAAGAGGCCGCCAAGCATGCAATGAGCAGAGCTCAGGGCCCACTGATGCTGCTTTCCAGGTTGGTTCTCTTGGAAATGTACCCAAAAGGGAAATGGTCTTGGATCACACATGTGGATTATTTCTTACACAATGTTTATTTCTGTCAGACTCATCAGCAAGAGAGCTCATAGCTACCTAGCTCCCCTTCCCACAGCAAGCGCAAACTCCTGGCCCCGGCAGACAAGCCCACAGGTGAGGAACAGAGTCCTGGAAGTGCTGACAACGAAGTCCCCCGAGGTGGCCTCACGCGCCCCAGCCGCAGGCACAGCGGAGCCGGGAGACACGGGCATCGCTGCACACAAACACCAAGGGGCTGAGGGTGGAGAAGCCGGAGGATGCCAGGTAGGACGAGCTGGCCAGCCAGGGGCTCGGGGTGCCCACCTGCATGGAGCACAGCGCCAGGATGCAAGCCAGGGTGTAGAAGGAGAGGAAGAGCAGGACACAGGAGGCCCCGGTGCGGAGGGGAGGGCAGGGGGGGAGCGAGCACACAGCCACGCCGGTACCGCACTTGCCGCCTGTGTCTGTGCAGCACGAGAAGCACGGAGCCGCTGGCCCAGCCCACGAGGCCCAGGCACATGGCGTCGGTGACAGAGAAAACCACCGCTCCCATCAGGAAGGTCTTGCCCCCTGAGACAGGGACGGAACAGGAACTGTACATGGGTCCCCCGCTCAGGTTTCGGTAGTCTCAGGAGCCATCTCCCCACATGCCCAAGGACAGATTCAGCGGGAAGTGCAGGAGCCAGCAGAGGGCGCAGCAGAGCACCACGCCCTGGGCCGACCTCAGCCTGTGCTGCACACACACACACACACACACACACACACACACACACACACACACACACACACACACACACACACACACACACACACACACACACACATATATCCCGGGCGGGAGTGTCAGGGCCTGGAAGCTGCTGAGCAGGCAGGTGGTGCTGAGCACCTCTGCACACCTTGTGCACACAGAAGACCCCCTTGCAAGCAGCTTCACCCAGGAAAGTTCGCACCCCAAACGCGGCCATGGTGTGAAGAACGCCTTTGGAGAGAAGAGCCAGGCTGTTGGCTAAGACGAGCTGGGGGGGAAGCAAGTCTGTGGGTCGACGCACAGGTGCACAGGCAAAAAGAGGCAGGAATTCCCCAGGACTCCCTTACCTGTCTAAAGGAGGAAGGTGACCCCCCCAAATCAGGCTCGAGGAAACCGAGTCGGTCATGGGAGGTTTTACCTGGCTTTGAGGATGCTGCAGGCAGAAAGAGAAACTTGACTCATGGTTTTTACACGAGGAAAAAGCTTTGCCCCTCCGAGGTCCTTTCACAACCCAACATGAATCCTGAGAGCAGGGATTTCAGATTCCACATGTGTGTGCCACAACGTGCCATGACCACTCTGTGCCTTTGGTGATGGGGTTGCCGTGACCACATGCGTATGGAGATTGACACAAATAAAAGGACTGCACCATTTTGGGGGCTGAATAGTACTCCATGCTTACACACACTGTATATCAGTATCTTTTCATCTATAAAAGAGTATGGCTTAGAGAGACATGGTTAATAGGATGAAGAAGCTCTAGGATTCTGCTGCTCAGCAGGTCCAGTACATTTAACAGTATTTATCACAGAATTCCACATGTCTAGGAGTTTGAACCATGCAGGTTCTTAGCACAGGTGTGGAATTCTGGAGATAGATAGCCTGAGCCCTTCACCTGGATCAGTGCACACCCCCTATACGGACAGATGTCACACGGCGTGACACATAAAATGCACCCAAAAAAAAAATCTCCCTCCCCCAAATAGAGTTTTGCTTGGGTGAATGGAAGAAGATTCACATTGTAAACCCACAGCTAAGTCTTGTAGAGTTATGACTGCTACATGCTCAACCTCAGTCGAGGAGAGAGCACGTGACTCCATTGATGTTCTATGCTTAATCCGAGCAGGGAGAGACAGACCGACTGACAGAGACAGAGAGACAGACAGAGATAGAGATTTAGGAAGAAATGAAAGGAGGGGAGGAAGGAGGGAGGAAAGGAAAGATTTAGAGAGAGAGGGAGGAGATACACAGAGCTACACCAAAGGAGAGAAGGAGGGAGGAGAGGAGGGAGAAACAGTTAGAGCAGGAAGGGTTCAGAGAGAAGGGCAGAGAGATGTAAAGTAACATCAGAAGCCTTGGCACAGGAAGATGGAGTCTATGTGCCAGAAATGTGGAGAAGATCCTTAACTGAGTGCATCCTCAGTCCAATCCTGATCCTAAGAAGAGGGAGGGATTCTCTGTGCCCCTACATTGCTGAAGCCTAGTCTTTCTGTGGAGCCAAAGCTAGGATGAAATTCACTACATGACCAGGCTGACTCCAACTCCTGACATCCTTTTTCTCTGCCTCCTATGTGCTGGGATTACAAGCTTAAGCCCAGAGCCCAGCCTTACCATGCTGATTCATGAGCACCCTTCTCTCCTGCAGCCCAGCTGTATGTTGAGGAAGGAGGAACACTTACCCAACGGGGCAGTGGCCGTCCAGGCCACACTGCCAGCGGCTCCCCCAAGGCAAGCGTCTCAGGTTCAGATGAAAGTCGGGCACCATGAGGTCATGGGCTGTCTGGGAGGTGATTATCATGTCAGCTCTGGGAGCGTGACAGTCCTCGCGTGGGAACCAGAGGTGATCTGAGACAAACATCTCCTAGGGGTGCAAATCATTGCAAGACATTCCCCATGCTTGGCCAGGATTGTCAATTTGCAATGATGCAGTTCCCTGAGGAGCTCTGACTGTGCCAGGTGGCGGTGTTTTGCCACTTGTGCAGGCCGAGCTGAGGAGTTTGGCAGGTCAGGTGGTGCAACACGTGTTTGCTTAGAAGCTTTTGCACTTCTCATGGGCTCACTGGGACCCAGTGTCATCATGCATTGGGGGCCAGCTATGGCTTCATGTTTGTAAGTCTGCCCAGTGAGATGAGACCAGCAGGAACCTAGAGAAACTTTTGCTCATGGCTTCTATAGGTACTTTTGAAGACTGTGACTCCTGGTGTATGAGACAGGCAGGCAAGCAGGCAGGCAGAAAGGAAGGGAGAGAGAGGGAGGGAGGGAAGGAGGGAAGAAAGAGGAGGGAGGGAGGGAGAGAGAAAGAAAGAGAAAGAAAAGAAAGAAAGAAAGAAAGAAAGAAAGAAAGAAAGAAAGAAAGGAAGGAAGGAAGGAAGGAAGGAAGAAAGAAAGAGAAAGAAGGAAAAAAAGAAGGAAGGAAAGAGAGATAGAAGGAAGGAAGGAAGGAAGAAAGGAAGGAAGGAAGAAAGAAACACAGGGAGACAATATCAAAGAACTAGCCTGTCTTGAGCCAGCCTGAAGTCATGAGAAAAACGGACAAAACAAAACAAAGCAGAAATAAGAAGCATGATGCTAGTGTTTGAAGCTGTAATCCTAGCTGCTCAGGAGGCTGAGATCTGAGGATGGAGATTCAAAGGAGGCTGGGCAGGAAAGTCTGTGAGACTCTTATTTCCCATTAACCATCAAAAAAAGCTGAAGTGGAGATGTGGCTCATGTGGTAGAGAGCCAACGTTGAGGTTAATTAAAAAAAAATAGCTCAGGGTCAGAACCTGAGTTGGGGTCCCTGTACTGTCCCTGACACACACACACACACACACACACACACACACACACACACACACACACACACACAAGCAGAGTCATGAAAGCATGGCATTTAATATAAGATAGAAAAACTACTTTCAATACAGTAGATAAAGTACTTCAAATGTCCCAGAGAAACTAAGGATTTATGGACAGGGACACAGAACCCCTTCCGCCCCCACTCCAGGTGATGGTCACCCATTTCCTGCAATGCCCTCCTCAGTCTGCCCATCACAGCTCAGGCAGCTCAGGAGCCCGGCTTCTCCTCCCGGGTAGGCACCCTGGCTCCTGCCATTCATCCAGGGCCACCCAGCCGTCTGCCATCTCCCACGTCCCCAGCCTGCAGCTCCAGCCTGCGCTTCTTCCTGCTCAGCCAGTCCTCAGTCAGCAGCCACACCAGGGCCACCAGCACCAGGAGTGCCAGACCAAGGCGAAGGAGGTTCTGGGCTGTGTGATCCCCAGGGGGACAGTCTGCAATCAGAGGAGATGGAGTGACAGCCCCCTTCCCCCATCATCAAGCCCAGCCTGGCTCCTTCTCCAGGGCCTGGCAACCAGGCTAAGATCAACCTCTTGTATTCCCTACCCTGGGGTGGCATGTTTCTTTCAGAGGGAGAGATGGAAAGTGGGGGAAGAGAGGGAGGAAGGGAGAGGGAGAGAGAGAGAGGAAGGGAGAGAGAGAATCATTTACTCACTAGGTCTGGAGTCTGGTTCTGAGGGTAAAGTAAAACTGTTTGAAGAATTTTCTAGAAAAGAACAAGACAGAGATGGTCAGTGAGGAGAGAGAAGGGGTCAAGGGCAGGGAGTCTCCTCTCTTCTACCCTGTGGCAACGTCCTGGAGGTGGGTCAGGTCCCAGCACACACAAAAAGGAAAGGAAGCCGAGCACTGGTGGCTCACACCTCTCATCCTAGCTACTCAGAGGCTGAGCTCTGAGGATCGCTGTTCAAAGCCAACCTGGGCAGGAAAGTCTGTGAGACTCTTATCTCTAATGACCCACCAGAAAACCAGAACTGGCGCTGTGGCTTAAGTGGTAGAGCGCTCCCCTTGAGCTGAAGAGCTGAGGGACAGCGCCCAGGCCCAGAGTTCAGGCCCCACAACTGAAAAAAAAAAAGGGGGGGGGTTGAGGGGCCGAGTGTGGAGGAAAGGAAAGGGCTCATGATGGAGGCCTGAGCCACAGGGGCGTGAGGTTAGAGCACCCACTCTTAACCTGATTTCCCAGATGGGGTGGGCAGTCAGCTTCCTGCGGAGCTCCCGCCACTCACATCTGCCTCTCAGAGCCACTCACACTCTGGGGCATTGACTCAGGTGTCCCAGCTCTCCTAAGCCCTTCTTCTACAACGGGGCTCCTGCCTGTGCCCCTGGCCTCACACAGGACAGGAGGAAGATGGACTCCCAGCCTGGGCTCAGGAGCTGAGGGGTCGTGGGGTGCTGGCCGTGCTGGGTCCTCTGGGACCCCACTGCCTCCCATTCAAGAGGCTCGGAGGAGCTGGGTGGGGGGTGTCAGAGAGGTGAGGGGGTAGGGGCCTAGGCGGGTGGTGTCCAAGGGCCTCTGCGTCCCCCTCAGTCAGGATGACGCCCTCCAATCCCTTTTGTGACCCCCACAGGAGGCTGACCTTCCCACCCAGGTCACCATGGGGCTGGGCAGAGCCGAGCCTAGGTTAGCAGTAGTGGAAATGCTCCCCATACCACCGCCAACAGGGCTAGAGAGGGGTCACCCCTGAATGTTGACCGCCATCACCTCCTGATAGATATGAGGCACAGAGTCACCACAGAGCACAGACCCCTCTCCCAAGGCAGAGCCAGGGCTGGGTTCCCTGCCTGGCCCCTCACCTGTCACCACCAGCTCCAGGGGCTCGCTGTGGTCTGACCAGCCAGCAGGGCTCTGGTAGAAACAGAAGTAGCGCCCAGCGTTGTCCTTTGTCATGGACCAGATGAAGAAGGCGGTCCTGTTCCCGGGTGTGCCTGGGATTTTTGAGGACCACCTATCTTTGTGTCCTTCTTTGTATAGACGGAACTCCTGGGCCTTCCAGGCCCCCTCACACCACAAGGTCACAGTGCTTCCCCGGACAACCACAGAGCCCGGCTCAGCGCGGAGGACCGGTCTAGGGAGGCTTCCTGAAAGGACATCAGAGACTGCACCCAGAACTTCCCTCTATTTACCGACCGACAACAGCCTCAGCGCCACCTGCTGCCCCCATCCCCTCTGCCCAGGGTGCCCTGTCCCCTGCTGACCCCCTCCCCTCCTCCCAGGAAAGCCCTGTGTCCCCTGCTGACCCCTCCCCTCTGCCCAAGGAAGCCCTGTCCCCAGGGAGGAAGACACACTCACCCCCCTGACCTTGGGCTGCAGAGTCTATACTCAGGCCTGAAATGAGTTGGTTCCCGTGAGAGGTGCGCTCTTCCCAGAGCCTCCTGAGCCTGAGGCCCTGGGTGGGGGGGACTGGGGCACCCACACTTCCCACCTTAGCTTCCCCTCCTGTCTTACCAATGTACAGCAGGGCTGCGAGTGCGAGGGCCATGCTGTGCGCACAGCGCCTGTGCTGCCTGCGGGGAAGCCGTGCCAGGCCACAAAGGCTCAGGATGTGGCTTTTGCCTCCTGGTCACAGGTTTGTCACACCCACAGTGACACAGAAAGGGGAAATGCCCATGCCCCGTAGGGTCTTCGTCCTCCTTCAGCCCCTCCACTCTCAGTCTTGCAAGTGTTTTGGGAGGAGGCAGAGCAGCAGGGTCACGGCCACCATGCCTGGAGCTCGGTTGTGGGGAGCAGCACAGAGGAGGGATGTGGGACACAGAGAAACAGAGAAACGCTGCCCCAGCATGGACCTCCCTTACTCACCAGACCCCCCATCTCCCCAGACCAAACACTGGTCCCTTTTCTTGCCTCCTCCCTGACCTTGTTCCCTGCAGAATTCTCCTGGTCCTGGCAGACGATCTAATGTTCCTTCCCCCTCCACGGTCCTGGCCGTGGGGAGGCAGGAGCCTCTCCTTCCTCTCTATCCACCTTCTTACTGTCAGCCTGGTGTCTTCCCCTCAGTGCTCAGAGGGGTAGAAGAGTCACCCCCATGTGTGACACACAGAGGCTCAATCGTGGGTCATTTCTGGATCAGGGTAAAATCCAAGTTTGGGACACTCATGGAGAGTAGGAACTCATGGAGATGGGCCTTTGTCTGCTCCAAGCATTGGAAACGGCCCAGAGAATATGTCTGAAGTTTGCTGAGCATCGACATCATGAGCAGAGAGAGAAAAAAACAAAGTTTCCCCATAAGGGGAGAGAGCCATGGCCATGCCAGAGGCTTCAGCTTTGAAGGCCTGGCGCCTGGGAGCATCCGGAGGCCCCGGGAGGTGGGGGCTCTTCCCTGTGGGTGAGGTGCAGTCTGGGGCTGGGGAGGTTGGCAGCTTTGTCCCTGCTCCTCCCCCATTTCCTCTGTGTTGTGCATGGCACTGGGCTTTCTCAGCTCACCACCTTGGCCTCATGGCCAACCCCAAGCTACCATGTGCTAAGACATGCTCTCTCCTGCATGGCCCCTGTGGGTGTGAGTGTAAGGGGCAGTTGGACTGGCAGATGCCCGCTGGGAGGGGTGCATGCCCAGGGCAGGAGGAACTAAGGACGCAAACTTCCTGATGCCAGTCATTGCATGAGTGGATGAACAAAATATATACATGCAACTGCATATTTTCCAGGCCAAAAACCCTCCAAAGAACAAATGAATCCTGTGATACGTTGCTGTCAGAGTATAATAGACTTTGCCAGAAAACTACACAGACACCCAGATACAAAGAACAAAGAAAGGTGTTTTGTGTGTGTGTGTGTGTGTGTGTGTGTGTTTTGAGGTTTATTGCCAGTAAAGGGGCTGGCAAGACCCCTCCCATAAGAGATGAGTGAGAAGCAGCGCTGGCTACTGTCTGGGGTGACCTATATAACCTAGGAGGTCTAGGAGGGACTGGAAGGGGTAGGAGGCAGAAAGCCTGCTGTGGACTTGAAGGCCAGGGGCTTCATCATGGCAGACTAGGATTTATGGCTGCTGCCCAAGTAATAGATAAGGGTCCTGCAGCTGCCCAGACCTGAAGGTCACTCTAAGGGGCTCTAGTTGCCTTCTATGGTGGTAGCTGCCCCAAAGAAGTGCCATCCCAAGGTAGAGGAGGTTGGAAGCTGATGATTTACTGCCTTACTACATGGGCCTAGTGCTGCCTAGGAAGGGAGCATGCCATGCTGTGGAGCGGGGAAGGAGCGTGCTTAGCCATGGGAAGGGAGCTCATTGGGCTGTTACAGAATCTCATGATCTCAGTACATGAGGAACAAAAAATAGCCAGGCTCCTAAGAAGAAAGAGCGTGGATGCTGGTTGTTGGGCTGTGGGTGGATGGAAGGAAGGAACACCTGCCGTTTTACACATGTAAAGTTTGCACATGTGAAATATGTGGAGGGGAGATTTCATCTTATGGGTGTGTTAAAAAAAAAGGAAAGGAAAAAAATGCAGTGTGCACAGGACTCATGTGAAATCACATAGAAGAAATGGAATTAGATAATGGTTACATTTTGGAGCAATGGAAATCCAGAGAAGACCATATGCACAGGAGAGGGAAGGAAGAAAGGAAGCAGACAGCCCACATGGTTTCAGAAAAAAGAGTGTGAGGAAGGAGGTTGGACAATATTTGGGGTTAAAAAAAAAAAAGTGACTGTCAGTAGGTTTACAAAAAGTACAGAAAAGCCAGGCACTGGTGGCTCATGCCTGTAATTCTAGCTACTAAGGAGGCTGAGATCTGAAGATTGTGGATCAAAGCCAATCCGTGCAGGAAACTCGAGAGACTCTTACCTCCAATGATCCAGTAGAAAATAAGAAGTGGCGCTGTGGCTCAAGTGGTAGAGCATTAGCCTTGAGATGAAGAGCTGAGGATCAGCGCCCAGGGCCAGAGTTCAAGCCCCCATGACCAACAACAACAACAACAAAAATGTCAGGGATTTTCCTGCTGGCCTGGCTTCAAACCTTGATCCTCACACCTATGCCTCCTGAGTAGCTGAGATGTCCGGCATGAGCCACCGGTGTTTAACTATTTTGTGTTTTAATGATAATGGGCCAGATGCTGTTTCTTTTCTGGTCTTGCTTGTTTGGTCTTGCATCTCTTACAACAATCTCTCTCTGTGTCTCTCTTTGTCTCTCTGTTTCTCCTTTTCTCTCCTTATCTCTCCTATCTAGGCCTGGCTCTCTCCTTATTGCTCAGGTGTTTCTTTATCATGACAGTAGCTCGGTAAGAAATCGGGGGCCTTCGCAGCTGGTGCAGGGATTGGGGCGAGAGTGGGGAAGCCCTCCCCCCAAGAGGCCGCCAAGCATGCAATGAGCAGAGCTCAGGGCCCACTGATGCTGCTTTCCAGGTTGGTTCTCTTGGAAATGTACCCAAAAGGGAAATGGTCTTGGATCACACATGTGGATTATTTCTTACACAATGTTTATTTCTGTCAGACTCATCAGCAAGAGAGAGCTCATAGCTACCTAGCTCCCCTTCCCACAGCAAGCGCAAACTCCTGGCCCCGGCAGACAAGCCCACAGGTGAGGAACAGAGTCCTGGAAGTGCTGACAACGAAGTCCCCCGAGGTGGCCTCACGCGCCCCAGCCGCAGGCACAGCGGAGCCGGGAGACACGGGCATCGCTGCACACAAACACCAAGGGGCTGAGGGTGGAGAAGCCGGAGGATGCCAGGTAGGACGAGCTGGCCAGCCAGGGGCTCGGGGTGCCCACCTGCATGGAGCACAGCGCCAGGATGCAAGCCAGGGTGTAGAAGGAGAGGAAGAGCAGGACACAGGAGGCCCCGGTGCGGAGGGGAGGGCAGGGGGGGAGCGAGCACACAGCCACGCCGGTACCGCACTTGCCGCCTGTGTCTGTGCAGCACGAGAAGCACGGAGCCGCTGGCCCAGCCCACGAGGCCCAGGCACATGGCGTCGGTGACAGAGAAAACCACCGCTCCCATCAGGAAGGTCTTGCCCCCTGAGACAGGGACGGAACAGGAACTGTACATGGGTCCCCCGCTCAGGTTTCGGTAGTCTCAGGAGCCATCTCCCCACATGCCCAAGGACAGATTCAGCGGGAAGTGCAGGAGCCAGCAGAGGGCGCAGCAGAGCACCACGCCCTGGGCCGACCTCAGCCTGTGCTGCACACACACACACACACACACACACACACACACACACACACACACACACACACACACACACACACACACACACACACACACACACACACACACATATATCCCGGGCGGGAGTGTCAGGGCCTGGAAGCTGCTGAGCAGGCAGGTGGTGCTGAGCACCTCTGCACACCTTGTGCACACAGAAGACCCCCTTGCAAGCAGCTTCACCCAGGAAAGTTCGCACCCCAAACGCGGCCATGGTGTGAAGAACGCCTTTGGAGAGAAGAGCCAGGCTGTTGGCTAAGACGAGCTGGGGGGGAAGCAAGTCTGTGGGTCGACGCACAGGTGCACAGGCAAAAAGAGGCAGGAATTCCCCAGGACTCCCTTACCTGTCTAAAGGAGGAAGGTGACCCCCCCAAATCAGGCTCGAGGAAACCGAGTCGGTCATGGGAGGTTTTACCTGGCTTTGAGGATGCTGCAGGCAGAAAGAGAAACTTGACTCATGGTTTTTACACGAGGAAAAAGCTTTGCCCCTCCGAGGTCCTTTCACAACCCAACATGAATCCTGAGAGCAGGGATTTCAGATTCCACATGTGTGTGCCACAATGTGCCATGACCACTCTGTGCCTTTGGTGATGGGGTTGCCGTGACCACACACGTATGGAGATTGACACAAATGAAAGGACTGCACCATTTTGGGGGCTGAATAGTACTCCATGCTTACACACACTGTATATCAGTATCTTTTCATCTATAAAAGAGTATGGCTTAGAGAGACATGGTTAATAGGACGAAGAAGCTCTAGGATTCTGCTGCTCAGCAGGTCCAGTACATTTAACAGTATTTATCACAGAATTCCACATGTCTAGGAGTTTGAACCATGCAGGTTCTTAGCACAGGTGTGGAATTCTGGAGATAGATAGCCTGAGCCCTTCACCTGGATCAGTGCACACCCCCTATACGGACAGATGTCACACGGCGTGACACATAAAATGCACCCAAAAAAAAAAATCTCCCTCCCCCAAATAGAGTTTTGCTTGGGTGAATGGAAGAAGATTCACATTGTAAACCCACAGCTAAGTCTTGTAGAGTTATGACTGCTACATGCTCAACCTCAGTCGAGGAGAGAGCACGTGACTCCATTGATGTTCTATGCTTAATCCGAGCAGGGAGAGACAGACCGACTGACAGAGACAGAGAGACAGACAGAGATAGAGATTTAGGAAGAAATGAAAGGAGGGGAGGAAGGAGGGAGGAAAGGAAAGATTTAGAGAGAGAGGGAGGAGATACACAGAGCTACACCAAAGGAGAGAAGGAGGGAGGAGAGGAGGGAGAAACAGTTAGAGCAGGAAGGGTTCAGAGAGAAGGGCAGAGAGATGTAAAGTAACATCAGAAGCCTTGGCACAGGAAGATGGAGTCTATGTGCCAGAAATGTGGAGAAGATCCTTAACTGAGTGCATCCTCAGTCCAATCCTGATCCTAAGAAGAGGGAGGGATTCTCTGTGCCCCTACATTGCTGAAGCCTAGTCTTTCTGTGGAGCCAAAGCTAGGATGAAATTCACTACATGACCAGGCTGACTCCAACTCCTGACATCCTTTTTCTCTGCCTCCTATGTGCTGGGATTACAAGCTTAAGCCCAGAGCCCAGCCTTACCATGCTGATTCATGAGCACCCTTCTCTCCTGCAGCCCAGCTGTATGTTGAGGAAGGAGGAACACTTACCCAACGGGGCAGTGGCCGTCCAGGCCACACTGCCAGCGGCTCCCCCAAGGCAAGCGTCTCAGGTTCAGATGAAAGTCGGGCACCATGAGGTCATGGGCTGTCTGGGAGGTGATTATCATGTCAGCTCTGGGAGCGTGACAGTCCTCGCGTGGGAACCAGAGGTGATCTGAGACAAACATCTCCTAGGGGTGCAAATCATTGCAAGACATTCCCCATGCTTGGCCAGGATTGTCAATTTGCAATGATGCAGTTCCCTGAGGAGCTCTGACTGTGCCAGGTGGCGGTGTTTTGCCACTTGTGCAGGCCGAGCTGAGGAGTTTGGCAGGTCAGGTGGTGCAACACGTGTTTGCTTAGAAGCTTTTGCACTTCTCATGGGCTCACTGGGACCCAGTGTCATCATGCATTGGGGGCCAGCTATGGCTTCATGTTCGTAAGTCTGCCCAGTGAGATGAGACCAGCAGGAACCTAGAGAAACTTTTGCTCATGGCTTCTATAGGTACTTTTGAAGACTGTGACTCCTGGTGTATGAGACAGGCAGGCAAGCAGGCAGGCAGAAAGGAAGGGAGAGAGAGGGAGGGAGGGAAGGAGGGAAGAAAGAGGAGGGAGGGAGGGAGAGAGAAAGAAAGAGAAAGAAAAGAAAGAAAGAAAGAAAGAAAGAAAGAAAGAAAGAAAGAAAGAAAGGAAGGAAGGAAGGAAGGAAGGAAGAAAGAAAGAGAAAGAAGGAAAAAAAGAAGGAAGGAAAGAGAGATAGAAGGAAGGAAGGAAGGAAGAAAGGAAGGAAGGAAGAAAGAAACACAGGGAGACAATATCAAAGAACTAGCCTGTCTTGAGCCAGCCTGAAGTCATGAGAAAAACGGACAAAACAAAACAAAGCAGAAATAAGAAGCATGATGCTAGTGTTTGAAGCTGTAATCCTAGCTGCTCAGGAGGCTGAGATCTGAGGATGGAGATTCAAAGGAGGCTGGGCAGGAAAGTCTGTGAGACTCTTATTTCCCATTAACCATCAAAAAAAGCTGAAGTGGAGATGTGGCTCATGTGGTAGAGAGCCAACGTTGAGGTTAATTAAAAAAAAATAGCTCAGGGTCAGAACCTGAGTTGGGGTCCCTGTACTGTCCCTGACACACACACACACACACACACACACACACACACACACACACACACACACACACAAGCAGAGTCATGAAAGCATGGCATTTAATATAAGATAGAAAAACTACTTTCAATACAGTAGATAAAGTACTTCAAATGTCCCAGAGAAACTAAGGATTTATGGACAGGGACACAGAACCCCTTCCGCCCCCACTCCAGGTGATGGTCACCCATTTCCTGCAATGCCCTCCTCAGTCTGCCCATCACAGCTCAGGCAGCTCAGGAGCCCGGCTTCTCCTCCCGGGTAGGCACCCTGGCTCCTGCCATTCATCCAGGGCCACCCAGCCGTCTGCCATCTCCCACGTCCCCAGCCTGCAGCTCCAGCCTGCGCTTCTTCCTGCTCAGCCAGTCCTCAGTCAGCAGCCACACCAGGGCCACCAGCACCAGGAGTGCCAGACCAAGGCGAAGGAGGTTCTGGGCTGTGTGATCCCCAGGGGGACAGTCTGCAATCAGAGGAGATGGAGTGACAGCCCCCTTCCCCCATCATCAAGCCCAGCCTGGCTCCTTCTCCAGGGCCTGGCAACCAGGCTAAGATCAACCTCTTGTATTCCCTACCCTGGGGTGGCATGTTTCTTTCAGAGGGAGAGATGGAAAGTGGGGGAAGAGAGGGAGGAAGGGAGAGGGAGAGAGAGAGAGGAAGGGAGAGAGAGAATCATTTACTCACTAGGTCTGGAGTCTGGTTCTGAGGGTAAAGTAAAACTGTTTGAAGAATTTTCTAGAAAAGAACAAGACAGAGATGGGCAGTGAGGAGAGAGAAGGGGTCAAGGGCAGGGAGTCTCCTCTCTTCTACCCTGTGGCAACGTCCTGGAGGTGGGTCAGGTCCCAGCACACACAAAAAGGAAAGGAAGCCGAGCACTGGTGGCTCACACCTCTCATCCTAGCTACTCAGAGGCTGAGCTCTGAGGATCGCTGTTCAAAGCCAACCTGGGCAGGAAAGTCTGTGAGACTCTTATCTCTAATGACCCACCAGAAAACCAGAACTGGCGCTGTGGCTTAAGTGGTAGAGCGCTCCCCTTGAGCTGACGAGCTGAGGGACAGCGCCCAGGCCCAGAGTTCAGGCCCCACAACTGAAAAAAAAAAAGGGGGGGGGGGGTTGAGGGGCGGAGTGTGGAGGAAAGGAAAGGGCTCATGATGGAGGCCTGAGCCACAGGGGCGTGAGGTTAGAGCACCCACTCTTAACCTGATTTCCCAGATGGGGTGGGCAGTCAGCTTCCTGTGGAGCTCCCGCCGCTCACATCTGCCTCTCAGAGCCACTCACACTCTGGGGCATTGACTCAGGTGTCCCAGCTCTCCTAAGCCCTTCTTCTACAACGGGGCTCCTGCCTGTGCCCCTGGCCTCACACAGGACAGGAGGAAGATGGACTCCCAGCCTGGGCTCAGGAGCTGAGGGGTCGTGGGGTGCTGGCCGTGCTGGGTCCTCTGGGACCCCACTGCCTCCCATTCAAGAGGCTCGGAGGAGCTGGGTGGGGGATGTCAGAGAGGTGAGGGGGTAGTGGGCCTAGGCGGGTGGTGTCCAAGGGCCTCTGCGTCCCCCTCAGTCAGGATGACGCCCTCCAATCCCTCTTGTGACCCCCACAGGAGGCTGACCTTCCCACCCAGGTCACCATGGGGCTGGGCAGAGCCGAGCCTGGGTTAGCAGTAGTGGAAATGCTCCCCATACCACCACCAACAGGGCTAGAGAGGGGTCACCCCTGAATGTTGACCGCCATCACCTCCTGATAGATATGAGGCACAGAGTCACCACAGAGCACAGACCCCTCTCCCAAGGCAGAGCCAGGGCTGGGTTCCCTGCCTGGCCCCTCACCTGTCACCACCAGCTCCAGGGGCTCGCTGTGGTCTGACCAGCCAGCAGGGCTCTGGTAGAAACAGAAGTAGCGCCCAGCGTTGTCCTTTGTCATGGACCAGATGAAGAAGGCGGTCCTGTTCCCGGGTGTGCCTGGGATTTTTGAGGACCACCTATCTTTGTGTCCTTCTTTGTATAGACGGAACTCCTGGGCCTTCCAGGCCCCCTCACACCACAAGGTCACAGTGCTTCCCCGGACAACCACAGAGCCCGGCTCAGCGCGGAGGACCGGTCTAGGGAGGCTTCCTGAAAGGACATCAGAGACTGCACCCAGAACTTCCCTCTATTTACCGACCGACAACAGCCTCAGCGCCACCTGCTGCCCCCATCCCCTCTGCCCAGGGTGCCCTGTCCCCTGCTGACCCCCTCCCCTCCTCCCAGGAAAGCCCTGTGTCCCCTGCTGACCCCTCCCCTCTGCCCAAGGAAGCCCTGTCCCCAGGGAGGAAGACACACTCACCCCCCTGACCTTGGGCTGCAGAGTCTATACTCAGGCCTGAAATGAGTTGGTTCCCGTGAGAGGTGCGCTCTTCCCAGAGCCTCCTGAGCCTGAGGCCCTGGGTGGGGGGGACTGGGGCACCCACACTTCCCACCTTAGCTTCCCCTCCTGTCTTACCAATGTACAGCAGGGCTGCGAGTGCGAGGGCCATGCTGTGCGCACAGCGCCTGTGCTGCCTGCGGGGAAGCCGTGCCAGGCCACAAAGGCTCAGGATGTGGCTTTTGCCTCCTGGTCACAGGTTTGTCACACCCACAGTGACACAGAAAGGGGAAATGCCCATGCCCCGTAGGGTCTTCGTCCTCCTTCAGCCCCTCCACTCTCAGTCTTGCAAGTGTTTTGGGAGGAGGCAGAGCAGCAGGGTCACGGCCACCATGCCTGGAGCTCGGTTGTGGGGAGCAGCACAGAGGAGGGATGTGGGACACAGAGAAACAGAGAAACGCTGCCCCAGCATGGACCTCCCTTACTCACCAGACCCCCCATCTCCCCAGACCAAACACTGGTCCCTTTTCTTGCCTCCTCCCTGACCTTGTTCCCTGCAGAATTCTCCTGGTCCTGGCAGACGATCTAATGTTCCTTCCCCCTCCACGGTCCTGGCCGTGGGGAGGCAGGAGCCTCTCCTTCCTCTCTATCCACCTTCTTACTGTCAGCCTGGTGTCTTCCCCTCAGTGCTCAGAGGGGTAGAAGAGTCACCCCCATGTGTGACACACAGAGGCTCAATCGTGGGTCATTTCTGGATCAGGGTAAAATCCAAGTTTGGGACACTCATGGAGAGTAGGAACTCATGGAGATGGGCCTTTGTCTGCTCCAAGCATTGGAAACGGCCCAGAGAATATGTCTGAAGTTTGCTGAGCATCGACATCATGAGCAGAGAGAGAAAAAAACAAAGTTTCCCCATAAGGGGAGAGAGCCATGGCCATGCCAGAGGCTTCAGCTTTGAAGGCCTGGCGCCTGGGAGCATCCGGAGGCCCCGGGAGGTGGGGGCTCTTCCCTGTGGGTGAGGTGCAGTCTGGGGCTGGGGAGGTTGGCAGCTTTGTCCCTGCTCCTCCCCCATTTCCTCTGTGTTGTGCATGGCACTGGGCTTTCTCAGCTCACCACCTTGGCCTCATGGCCAACCCCAAGCTACCATGTGCTAAGACATGCTCTCTCCTGCATGGCCCCTGTGGGTGTGAGTGTAAGGGGCAGTTGGACTGGCAGATGCCCGCTGGGAGGGGTGCATGCCCAGGGCAGGAGGAACTAAGGACGCAAACTTCCTGATGCCAGTCATTGCATGAGTGGATGAACAAAATATATACATGCAACTGCATATTTTCCAGGCCAAAAACCCTCCAAAGAACAAATGAATCCTGTGATACGTTGCTGTCAGAGTATAATAGACTTTGCCAGAAAACTACACAGACACCCAGATACAAAGAACAAAGAAAGGTGTTTTGTGTGTGTGTGTGTGTGTGTGTGTGTGTTTTGAGGTTTATTGCCAGTAAAGGGGCTGGCAAGACCCCTCCCATAAGAGATGAGTGAGAAGCAGCGCTGGCTACTGTCTGGGGTGACCTATATAACCTAGGAGGTCTAGGAGGGACTGGAAGGGGTAGGAGGCAGAAAGCCTGCTGTGGACTTGAAGGCCAGGGGCTTCATCATGGCAGACTAGGATTTATGGCTGCTGCCCAAGTAATAGATAAGGGTCCTGCAGCTGCCCAGACCTGAAGGTCACTCTAAGGGGCTCTAGTTGCCTTCTATGGTGGTAGCTGCCCCAAAGAAGTGCCATCCCAAGGTAGAGGAGGTTGGAAGCTGATGATTTACTGCCTTACTACATGGGCCTAGTGCTGCCTAGGAAGGGAGCATGCCATGCTGTGGAGCGGGGAAGGAGCGTGCTTAGCCATGGGAAGGGAGCTCATTGGGCTGTTACAGAATCTCATGATCTCAGTACATGAGGAACAAAAAATAGCCAGGCTCCTAAGAAGAAAGAGCGTGGATGCTGGTTGTTGGGCTGTGGGTGGATGGAAGGAAGGAACACCTGCCGTTTTACACATGTAAAGTTTGCACATGTGAAATATGTGGAGGGGAGATTTCATCTTATGGGTGTGTTAAAAAAAAAGGAAAGGAAAAAAATGCAGTGTGCACAGGACTCATGTGAAATCACATAGAAGAAATGGAATTAGATAATGGTTACATTTTGGAGCAATGGAAATCCAGAGAAGACCATATGCACAGGAGAGGGAAGGAAGAAAGGAAGCAGACAGCCCACATGGTTTCAGAAAAAAGAGTGTGAGGAAGGAGGTTGGACAATATTTGGGGTTAAAAAAAAAAAAGTGACTGTCAGTAGGTTTACAAAAAGTACAGAAAAGCCAGGCACTGGTGGCTCATGCCTGTAATCCTAGCTACTAAGGAGGCTGAGATCTGAAGATTGTGGATCAAAGCCAATCCGTGCAGGAAACTCGAGAGACTCTTACCTCCAATGATCCAGTAGAAAATAAGAAGTGGCGCTGTGGCTCAAGTGGTAGAGCATTAGCCTTGAGATGAAGAGCTGAGGATCAGCGCCCAGGGCCAGAGTTCAAGCCCCCATGACCAACAACAACAACAACAAAAATGTCAGGGATTTTCCTGCTGGCCTGGCTTCAAACCTTGATCCTCACACCTATGCCTCCTGAGTAGCTGAGATGTCCGGCATGAGCCACCGGTGTTTAACTATTTTGTGTTTTAATGATAATGGGCCAGATGCTGTTTCTTTTCTGGTCTTGCTTGTTTGGTCTTGCATCTCTTACAACAATCTCTCTCTGTGTCTCTCTTTGTCTCTCTGTTTCTCCTTTTCTCTCCTTATCTCTCCTATCTAGGCCTGGCTCTCTCCTTATTGCTCAGGTGTTTCTTTATCATGACAGTAGCTCGGTAAGAAATCGGGGGCCTTCGCAGCTGGTGCAGGGATTGGGGCGAGAGTGGGGAAGCCCTCCCCCCAAGAGGCCGCCAAGCATGCAATGAGCAGAGCTCAGGGCCCACTGATGCTGCTTTCCAGGTTGGTTCTCTTGGAAATGTACCCAAAAGGGAAATGGTCTTGGATCACACATGTGGATTATTTCTTACACAATGTTTATTTCTGTCAGACTCATCAGCAAGAGAGAGCTCATAGCTACCTAGCTCCCCTTCCCACAGCAAGCGCAAACTCCTGGCCCCGGCAGACAAGCCCACAGGTGAGGAACAGAGTCCTGGAAGTGCTGACAACGAAGTCCCCCGAGGTGGCCTCACGCGCCCCAGCCGCAGGCACAGCGGAGCCGGGAGACACGGGCATCGCTGCACACAAACACCAAGGGGCTGAGGGTGGAGAAGCCGGAGGATGCCAGGTAGGACGAGCTGGCCAGCCAGGGGCTCGGGGTGCCCACCTGCATGGAGCACAGCGCCAGGATGCAAGCCAGGGTGTAGAAGGAGAGGAAGAGCAGGACACAGGAGGCCCCGGTGCGGAGGGGAGGGCAGGGGGGGAGCGAGCACACAGCCACGCCGGTACCGCACTTGCCGCCTGTGTCTGTGCAGCACGAGAAGCACGGAGCCGCTGGCCCAGCCCACGAGGCCCAGGCACATGGCGTCGGTGACAGAGAAAACCACCGCTCCCATCAGGAAGGTCTTGCCCCCTGAGACAGGGACGGAACAGGAACTGTACATGGGTCCCCCGCTCAGGTTTCGGTAGTCTCAGGAGCCATCTCCCCACATGCCCAAGGACAGATTCAGCGGGAAGTGCAGGAGCCAGCAGAGGGCGCAGCAGAGCACCACGCCCTGGGCCGACCTCAGCCTGTGCTGCACACACACACACACACACACACACACACACACACACACACACACACACACACACACACACACACACACACACATATATCCCGGGCGGGAGTGTCAGGGCCTGGAAGCTGCTGAGCAGGCAGGTGGTGCTGAGCACCTCTGCACACCTTGTGCACACAGAAGACCCCCTTGCAAGCAGCTTCACCCAGGAAAGTTCGCACCCCAAACGCGGCCATGGTGTGAAGAACGCCTTTGGAGAGAAGAGCCAGGCTGTTGGCTAAGACGAGCTGGGGGGGAAGCAAGTCTGTGGGTCGACGCACAGGTGCACAGGCAAAAAGAGGCAGGAATTCCCCAGGACTCCCTTACCTGTCTAAAGGAGGAAGGTGACCCCCCCAAATCAGGCTCGAGGAAACCGAGTCGGTCATGGGAGGTTTTACCTGGCTTTGAGGATGCTGCAGGCAGAAAGAGAAACTTGACTCATGGTTTTTACACGAGGAAAAAGCTTTGCCCCTCCGAGGTCCTTTCACAACCCAACATGAATCCTGAGAGCAGGGATTTCAGATTCCACATGTGTGTGCCACAATGTGCCATGACCACTCTGTGCCTTTGGTGATGGGGTTGCCGTGACCACACACGTATGGAGATTGACACAAATGAAAGGACTGCACCATTTTGGGGGCTGAATAGTACTCCATGCTTACACACACTGTATATCAGTATCTTTTCATCTATAAAAGAGTATGGCTTAGAGAGACATGGTTAATAGGACGAAGAAGCTCTAGGATTCTGCTGCTCAGCAGGTCCAGTACATTTAACAGTATTTATCACAGAATTCCACATGTCTAGGAGTTTGAACCATGCAGGTTCTTAGCACAGGTGTGGAATTCTGGAGATAGATAGCCTGAGCCCTTCACCTGGATCAGTGCACACCCCCTATACGGACAGATGTCACACGGCGTGACACATAAAATGCACCCAAAAAAAAAAATCTCCCTCCCCCAAATAGAGTTTTGCTTGGGTGAATGGAAGAAGATTCACATTGTAAACCCACAGCTAAGTCTTGTAGAGTTATGACTGCTACATGCTCAACCTCAGTCGAGGAGAGAGCACGTGACTCCATTGATGTTCTATGCTTAATCCGAGCAGGGAGAGACAGACCGACTGACAGAGACAGAGAGACAGACAGAGATAGAGATTTAGGAAGAAATGAAAGGAGGGGAGGAAGGAGGGAGGAAAGGAAAGATTTAGAGAGAGAGGGAGGAGATACACAGAGCTACACCAAAGGAGAGAAGGAGGGAGGAGAGGAGGGAGAAACAGTTAGAGCAGGAAGGATTCAGAGAGAGGGGCAGAGAGATGTAAAGTAACATCAGAAGCCTTGGCACAGGAAGATGGAGTCTATGTGCCAGAAATGTGGAGAAGATACCTTAACTGAGTGCATCCTCAGTCCAATCCTGATCCTAAGAAGAGGGAGGGATTCTCTGTGCCCCTACATTGCTGAAGCCTAGTCTTTCTGTGGAGCCAAAGCTAGGATGAAATTCACTACATGACCAGGCTGACTCCAACTCCTGACATCCTTTTTCTCTGCCTCCTATGTGCTGGGATTACAAGCTTAAGCCCAGAGCCCAGCCTTACCATGCTGATTCATGAGCACCCTTCTCTCCTGCAGCCCAGCTGTATGTTGAAGAAGGAGGAACACTTACCCAACGGGGCAGTGGCCGTCCAGGCCACACTGCCAGCGGCTCCCCCAAGGCAAGCGTCTCAGGTTCAGATGAAAGTCGGGCACCATGAGGTCATGGGCTGTCTGGGAGGTGATTATCATGTCAGCTCTGGGAGCGTGACAGTCCTCGCGTGGGAACCAGAGGTGATCTGAGACAAACATCTCCTAGGGGTGCAAATCATTGCAAGACATTCCCCATGCTTGGCCAGGATTGTCAATTTGCAATGATGCAGTTCCCTGAGGAGCTCTGACTGTGCCAGGTGGCGGTGTTTTGCCACTTGTGCAGGCCGAGCTGAGGAGTTTGGCAGGTCAGGTGGTGCAACACGTGTTTGCTTAGAAGCTTTTGCACTTCTCATGGGCTCACTGGGACCCAGTGTCATCATGCATTGGGGGCCAGCTATGGCTTCATGTTCGTAAGTCTGCCCAGTGAGATGAGACCAGCAGGAACCTAGAGAAACTTTTGCTCATGGCTTCTATAGGTACTTTTGAAGACTGTGACTCCTGGTGTATGAGACAGGCAGGCAAGCAGGCAGGCAGAAAGGAAGGGAGAGAGAGGGAGGGAGGGAAGGAGGGAAGAAAGAGGAGGGAGGGAGGGAGAGAGAAAGAAAGAGAAAGAAAAGAAAGAAAGAAAGAAAGAAAGAAAGAAAGAAAGAAAGAAAGAAAGGAAGGAAGGAAGGAAGGAAGGAAGAAAGAAAGAGAAAGAAGGAAAAAAAGAAGGAAGGAAAGAGAGATAGAAGGAAGGAAGGAAGGAAGAAAGGAAGGAAGGAAGAAAGAAACACAGGGAGACAATATCAAAGAACTAGCCTGTCTTGAGCCAGCCTGAAGTCATGAGAAAAACGGACAAAACAAAACAAAGCAGAAATAAGAAGCATGATGCTAGTGTTTGAAGCTGTAATCCTAGCTGCTCAGGAGGCTGAGATCTGAGGATGGAGATTCAAAGGAGGCTGGGCAGGAAAGTCTGTGAGACTCTTATTTCCCATTAACCATCAAAAAAAGCTGAAGTGGAGATGTGGCTCATGTGGTAGAGAGCCAACGTTGAGGTTAATTAAAAAAAAATAGCTCAGGGTCAGAACCTGAGTTGGGGTCCCTGTACTGTCCCTGACACACACACACACACACACACACACACACACACACACACACACACACACACACACACACACACACAAGCAGAGTCATGAAAGCATGGCATTTAATATAAGATAGAAAAACTACTTTCAATACAGTAGATAAAGTACTTCAAATGTCCCAGAGAAACTAAGGATTTATGGACAGGGACACAGAACCCCTTCCGCCCCCACTCCAGGTGATGGTCACCCATTTCCTGCAATGCCCTCCTCAGTCTGCCCATCACAGCTCAGGCAGCTCAGGAGCCCGGCTTCTCCTCCCGGGTAGGCACCCTGGCTCCTGCCATTCATCCAGGGCCACCCAGCCGTCTGCCATCTCCCACGTCCCCAGCCTGCAGCTCCAGCCTGCGCTTCTTCCTGCTCAGCCAGTCCTCAGTCAGCAGCCACACCAGGGCCACCAGCACCAGGAGTGCCAGACCAAGGCGAAGGAGGTTCTGGGCTGTGTGATCCCCAGGGGGACAGTCTGCAATCAGAGGAGATGGAGTGACAGCCCCCTTCCCCCATCATCAAGCCCAGCCTGGCTCCTTCTCCAGGGCCTGGCAACCAGGCTAAGATCAACCTCTTGTATTCCCTACCCTGGGGTGGCATGTTTCTTTCAGAGGGAGAGATGGAAAGTGGGGGAAGAGAGGGAGGAAGGGAGAGGGAGAGAGAGAGAGGAAGGGAGAGAGAGAATCATTTACTCACTAGGTCTGGAGTCTGGTTCTGAGGGTAAAGTAAAACTGTTTGAAGAATTTTCTAGAAAAGAACAAGACAGAGATGGTCAGTGAGGAGAGAGAAGGGGTCAAGGGCAGGGAGTCTCCTCTCTTCTACCCTGTGGCAACGTCCTGGAGGTGGGTCAGGTCCCAGCACACACAAAAAGGAAAGGAAGCCGAGCACTGGTGGCTCACACCTCTCATCCTAGCTACTCAGAGGCTGAGCTCTGAGGATCGCTGTTCAAAGCCAACCTGGGCAGGAAAGTCTGTGAGACTCTTATCTCTAATGACCCACCAGAAAACCAGAACTGGCGCTGTGGCTTAAGTGGTAGAGCGCTCCCCTTGAGCTGAAGAGCTGAGGGACAGCGCCCAGGCCCAGAGTTCAGGCCCCACAACTGAAAAAAAAAAAGGGGGGGGGGGTTGAGGGGCGGAGTGTGGAGGAAAGGAAAGGGCTCATGATGGAGGCCTGAGCCACAGGGGCGTGAGGTTAGAGCACCCACTCTTAACCTGATTTCCCAGATGGGGTGGGCAGTCAGCTTCCTGTGGAGCTCCCGCCGCTCACATCTGCCTCTCAGAGCCACTCACACTCTGGGGCATTGACTCAGGTGTCCCAGCTCTCCTAAGCCCTTCTTCTACAACGGGGCTCCTGCCTGTGCCCCTGGCCTCACACAGGACAGGAGGAAGATGGACTCCCAGCCTGGGCTCAGGAGCTGAGGGGTCGTGGGGTGCTGGCCGTGCTGGGTCCTCTGGGACCCCACTGCCTCCCATTCAAGAGGCTCGGAGGAGCTGGGTGGGGGGTGTCAGAGAGGTGAGGGGGTAGTGGGCCAGGCGGGTGGTGTCCAAGGGCCTCTGCGTCCCCCTCAGTCAGGATGACGCCCTCCAATCCCTCTTGTGACCCCCACAGGAGGCTGACCTTCCCACCCAGGTCACCATGGGGCTGGGCAGAGCCGAGCCTGGGTTAGCAGTAGTGGAAATGCTCCCCATACCACCGACAACAGGGCTAGAGAGGGGTCACCCCTGAATGTTGACCGCCATCACCTCCTGATAGATATGAGGCACAGAGTCACCACAGAGCACAGACCCCTCTCCCAAGGCAGAGCCAGGGCTGGGTTCCCTGCCTGGCCCCTCACCTGTCACCACCAGCTCCAGGGGCTCGCTGTGGACTGACCAGCCAGCAGGGCTCTGGTAGAAACAGAAGTAGCGCCCAGCGTTGTCCTTTGTCATGGACCGGATGAAGAAGGCGATCCTCTTCCCCGGTGTGTCTGGGATTTTTGAGGACCACCTATCTTTGTCTCCTTCTTTGTATAGACGGAACTTCTGGGCCTTCCAGGCCCCCTCACACCACAAGGTCACAGTGCTTCCCCGGACCACCACAGAGCCCGACTCAGCACGGAGGACCGGTCTAGGGAGGCTTCCTGAAAGGACATCAGAGACTGCACCCAGAACTTCCCTCTGTTTGCCCAGTGACCCCAGCGCCACCTGCTGCCCCCATCCCCTCTGCCCAGGGTGCCCTGTCCCCTGCTGACCCCTGTCCCCTCCTCCAGTGAAGCCTTTTGTCCCCTGCTGACCCCTCCCCTCTGCCCAGGGAAGCCCTGTCCCCAGGGAAGAGGACGCACTCACCCCTCTGACCTTGGGCTGCAGAGTCTACACTCAGGCCTGAAATGAATTGGTTCCCATGAGAGGTGCGCTCTTCCCAGAGCCTCCTGAGCCTGAGGCCCTGGGTGGGGGGGACTGGGGCACCCACATTCCCACCTTAGCTTCCCCTCCTGTCTTACCAATGTACAGCAGGGCTGCGAGTGCGAGGGCCATGCTGTGCGCACAGCGCCTGTGCTGCCTGCGGGGAAGCTGTGTCAGGCCACAAAGGCTCAGGATGTGGCTTTTGCCTCCTGGTCACAGGTTTGTCACACCCACAGTAACACGGAAAAGGGAAATGCCCATGCCCTGTGCGGTCCTCGTTCTCCTTCATGCCTTCCACTATCAGTCTTGCAAGAGTTTTGGGAGGATGCAGAGCAGCAGGGTCACGGCGACCATGCCTGGATCTGGGTTGTGGGGAGCAGCACAGAGGAGGGAGGTGGGAGTCAGGGAAACGCTGCCCCCACATGATGCCCCTTATCCACCAGACCCCACCTCTCCCCAGACCAAACACTGGTCCCTTTTCTTGCCTCCTCCTTGGCCTTGTTCCCTGCAGAATTCTCCTGGTCCTGGCAGATGATCTAATGTTCCTTCCCCCTCCACGGTCCTGGCCGTGGGGAGGCAGGAGCCTCTCCTTCCTCTCTATCCACCTTCTTGCTGTCAGCCTGGTGTCTTCCGCTCAGTCCTCAGAGGGGTAGAAGAGTCACCCCCATGTGTGACACACAGAGGCTCAATCGTGGGTCATTTCTGGATCAGGGTAAAATCCAAGCACTCATGGAGAGTAGGAACTCATGGAGATGGGCCTTTGTCTGCTCCAAGCATTGGAAACGGCCCAGAGAATATGTCTGAAGTTTGCTAAGCATCGACATCATAAGCAGAGAGAGAGAAAAACAAAGTTCCCCCATAAGGGGAGAGAGCCATGGCCATGCCAGAGGCTTCAGCTTTGAAGGCCTGGCGCCTGGGAGCATCCGGAGGCCCAGGGAGGTGGGGGCTCCTCCCTGTGGGTGAGGTGCAGTCTGGGGCTGGGGAGGTTGGCAGCTTTGTCCCTGCTCCTCCCCCATTTCCTCTGTGTTGTGCATGGCACTGGGCTTTCTCAGCTCACCAATTGGGCCTAGTGGCCATTCCCAAGCCACCATGCGCTAAGACATGCTCTCTCCTGTGGGTGTGAGTGTAAGGGGCAGTTGGACTGGCAGATGCCCGCTGGGAGGGGTGCATGCCCAGGGCAGGAGCCACTAAGGACGCAAACTTCCTGATGCCAGTCATTGCATGAGTGGATGAACAAAATATATACATGCAACTGCATATTTTCCAGGCCAAAAACCCTCTAAAGAACAAATGAATCCTGTGATACGTTGCTGTCAGAGTATATTAGACTTTGGCAGAAAACTACACAGAAACCCAGGTACAAAGAACAAAGAAAGGTGTTTTGTGTGTGTGTGTGTGTGTGTGTGTGTGTGTTTTTAAGGTTTATTGCCAGTAAAGGGGCCAGCAAGACCCCTCCCACAAGAGAGGAGTGAGAAGAAGCGCCGGCTACTGTCTGGGGTGACCTATATAACCTAGGATGTCTAGGAGGGGCTGGAAAGGGTAGGAGGCAGAAAGCCTGCTGTGGACTTGAGGGCCAGGGGCTTCATCATGGCAGACTAGTATTTATGGATACTGCCCAAGTAGCAGATAAGGTTTTTGAAGCTGCCCAGACCTGAAGGTCACTCTAAGGGGCTCTTGTTGCCTTCTATGGTGGTAGCTGCCCCAAAGAAGTGCCATCCCAAGGTAGAGGAGGTTAGAAGCTGATGATTTACTGCCTTACTACATGGACCTAGTGCTGACTAGGAAGGGAGCATGCCACGCTGTGGAACGGGGAAGGAGCGTGCTTAGCAATGGGAAGGGAGCTCATTGGGCTGTTACAGAATCTCATGATCTCAGTACATGAGGAACAAAAAATAGCCAGGCTCCTAAGAAGAAAGAGCATGGATGCTGGTTGTTGGGCTGTGGGTGGATGGAAGGAAGGAACACCTGCCGTTTTACACATGTAAAGTTCGCACATGTGAAATGTGTGGAGGAGAGATTTCATCTTATGGGTGTGTTAAAAAAAAGGAAAGGAAAAAATGCAGTGTGCACAGGTCTCATGTGAAATCCCAAAGAAGAAATGGAATTAGATAATGGTTACATTTTAGAGAAATGGAAATCCAGAAAAGACAATATGCACAGGAGATGGGAGGAAGAAAGGAAGCAGACAGCCCACATGGTTTCAGAAAAAAGAGTGTGAGGAAGGAGGTTGGACAATATTTGGGGTTAAAAAAAATAGTAACCTTCAGTAGGTTTACAAAAAGTACAGAAAAGCCAGGCACTGGTGGCCCAGGCCTGTAATCCTAGCTACTAAGGAGGCTGAGATCTGAAGATTGTGGATCAAAGCCAATCCGTGCAGGAAACTCGAGAGACTCTTAACTCCAACGAACCAGTAGAAAATAGGAAGTGGCACTGTGGCTCAAGTGGTAGAGCATTAGCCTTGAGATGAAGAGCTGAGGATCAGCGCCCAGGGCCAGAGTTCAAGCCCCCATGACCAACAACAACAACAACAAAAATGTCAGGGATTTTCCTGCCGGCCTGGCTTCAAACCTTGATCCTCACACCTATGCCTCCTGAGTAGCTGAGATGTCCGGCATGAGCCCCCAGTGTTTAACTATTTTTGTGTTATAATGATAATGGGCCAGATGCTGTTTCTTTTCTGGTCTTGCTTGTTTGGTCTTGTATCTCTTACAACAATCTCTCTCTGTGTCTCTCTTTGTCTCTCTGTTTCTCCTTTTCTCTCCTTATCTCTCCTATCTAGGCCTGGCTCTCTCCTTATTGCTCAGGTGTTTCTTTATCATGACAGTAGCTCGGTAAGAAATCGGGGGCCTTCGCAGCTGGTGCAGGGATTGGGGAGATGGTGGGGAAGCCCCCCCCCAAGGGGCCGCCAAGCATGCAATGAGCAGAGCTCAGGGCCCACTGATGCTGCTTTCCAGGTTGGTTCTCTTGGAAACGCACCCAAAAGGAAAATGGTCATGGATCACACATGTGGATTATTTCTTACACAATGTTTATTTCTGGCAGTCTCATCAGCAAGACAGAGCCCATAGCTACCTAGCTCCCCTTCCCACAGCAAGCGCAAACTCCTGGCCCCGGCAGACAAGCCCACAGGTGAGGAACAGAGTCCTGGAGGTGCTGACAACGAAGACCCGGAGCCGGCCTCACGCGCCCCAGCCGCAGGCACAGCGGAGCCGGGAGACATGAGCATAGCTGCACACAAACACCAAGGGGCTGAGGGTGGAGAAGCCGGAGGATGCCAGGTAGGATGAGCTGGCCAGCCAGGGGCTCGGGATGCCCACCTGCATGGAGCACAGCACCAGGATGCAAGCCAGGGTGTAGAAGGAGAGGAAGAGGCTGACCAGGAGCAGGACACAGGAGGCCCCGGTGCGGCGGGGAGGGCAGGGGGGGAGCGAGCATGCAGCCGTGCGGTTACCGCACTTGCCGCCTGTGTCTGTGCAGCACGAGGAACATGGAGCCGCTGGCCCAGCCCATGAGGCCCAGGCACATGGCATCGGTAACAGAGAAAACCACCGGTCCCATCAGGAAGGTCTTGCCCCCTGAGACAGGGACGGAACAGGAACTCTACATGGGTCTCAGGAGCCATCTCCCCACATGCCCTAGGCCAGATTCAGCGGGAAGTGCAGGAGCCAGCAGAGGGCGCAGCAGAGCACCACGCCCTGGGCCGACCTCAGCCTGTGCTGCACACACACACACACACACACACACACACACACACACACACACACACACACACATATCCCGGGCGGGAGTGTCAGGGCCTGGAAGCTGCTGAGCAGGCAGGTGGTGCTGAGCACCTCTGCACACCTTGTGCACACAGAAGACCCCCTTGCAAGCAGCCTCACCCAGGAAAGGTCGCACCCCAAACGCGGCCATGGTGTGAGGAACGCCTTTGGAGAGAAGAGCCAGGCTGTTGGCTAAGACGAGCTGGGGGGGAAGCAAGTCTGTGGGTCGACGCACAGGTGCACAGGCAAAAAGAGGCAGGAATTCCCCAGGACTCCCTTACCTGTCTAAAGGAGGAAGGTGACCCCCCCAAATCAGGCTCGAGGAAACCGAGTCGGTCATGGGAGGTTTTACCTGGCTTTGAGGATGCTGCAGGCAGAAAGAGAAACTTGACTCATGGTTTTTACACGAGGAAAAAGCTTTGCCCCTCCGAGGTCCTTTCACAACCCAACATGAATCCTGAGAGCAGGGATTTCAGATTCCACATGTGTGTGCCACAATGTGCCATGACCACTCTGTGCCTTTGGTGATGGGGTTGCCGTGACCACACACGTATGGAGATTGACACAAATGAAAGGACTGCACCATTTTGGGGGCTGAATAGTACTCCATGCTTACACACACTGTATATCAGTATCTTTTCATCTATAAAAGAGTATGGCTTAGAGAGACATGGTTAATAGTCAGGACGAAGAAGCTCTAGGATTCTGCTGCTCAGCAGGTCCAGTACATTTAACAGTATTTAACACAGAATTCCACATGTCTAGGAGTATGAACCATGCAGGTTCTTAGCACAGGTGTGGAATTCTGGAGATAGATAGCCTGAGCCCTTCACCTGGATCAGTGCACACCCCCTATATGGACAGATGTCACACAGCGTGCCACATAAAATGCACCCAAAAAAAATCTCCCTCCCCCAAATAGAGTTTTGCTTGGGTGAATGGAAGAAGATTCACATTGTAAACCCACAGCTAAGTCTTGTAGAGTTATGACTGCTACATGCTTAACCTCAGTCGAGGAGAGAGCACGTGACTCCATTGATGTTCTATGCTTAATCCGAGCAGAGAGAGACAGACCAACTGACAGAGACAGAGATAGAGAGACAGACAGAGATAGAGAGAGATTGAGGAAGAAATGAAAGGAGGGGAGGAAGGAGGGAGGAAAGGAAAGATTTAGAGAGAGAGGGAGGAGATACACAGAGCTACACCAAAGGAAAGAAGGAGGGACGAGAGGAGGGAGAAACAGAGCAGGAAGGGTTCAGAGAGAAGGGCAGAGAGATGTAAAGTAACATCAGAAGCCTTGGCACAGGAAGATGGAGTCTATGTGCCAGAAATGTGGAGAAGATACCTTAACTGAGTGCATCCTCAGTCCAATCCTGATCCTAAGAAGAGGGAGGGATTCTCTGTGCCCCT